CATTTTTCAAGGGAATTTTATGACCTTCAAGACATTACAATTTAAGTTTATAATTATTATCGTTATTGTTATTATTAAGTCTGAAACCGAGTAACCGAGTGCACATGAGCAAGGATTTTATCCAGTTTACCGTGGAAGAGTGCAGTGTGTTTAGTTGCAGGATCTAGGCCTGGCCCGGTTAGCAAGTGTTCCGCGTCCCACTATTTGTATTTGATATACACAACAGAATAACGGGACCGTGGCTATTAATTAGCCATTCCTTTTCTTAACAACTCCACCTTTTCTCCCTTAAGTGATTAACGCTATCGCTAATAATTCCGCTCTGTAAATTTGCGCTGCTCTTTTCTTCAATCTTAAACTATTATATTACATATGTACGAGTTAATGCACTGCACTCACACATCTATATGAATATAAGTACATAGGTGGTAAATCATATTTAGCTTACTCATTACTCATCGACGTATGTACCGACACAACGACTAATTTAAATTAACAGGTAATTAATTAACGCTCTCGTGAGTTTAAAGACGATGTTAATAAGTACTTTGTCTAGAGATATATTTACAATTTCTAATTTTTTTTTAGACTATTTTGTTTTTTAATTAGTTATTCATTAATTGGCAGTACTTTTATATTTTTTTAATTGAAAAAATTTTAGTAAAATTTAATTTTATTATAATAAATTTTTATTAAAATTTTTTAATAAATTTTTATTAAAATTTTTTAATAAATTTTTATTAAAATTTTTTAATAAATTTTTATTAAAATTTTTTAATAAATTTTTATTAAAATTTTTTAATAAATTTTTATTAAAATTTTTTAATAAATTTTTATTAAAATTTTTTAATAAATTTTTATTAAAATTTTTTAATAAATTTTTATTAAAATTTTTTAAGCACTTCTTTGTAGATAGTCAATTTTTTTTATTAACTTTATAATGAAATAAAATTAAAAAATTTTAATAAAATAATTTTGCAATTAAAATAAATATGGGAATATTTAATAACAATAATTTCTCATTGGATTATTTAAAAGAAAAATAACATAAAAAATTTCTCATTACTAATTGACCTTGGGGATTATGTAAATAATGACAATTAAAAGGTCATTAGCACCTGATGTAAGAATGAAGAATAGTAAGAAGAAATGTAATTCAAGAAGACATAAACTTCCCTTTGCTATCCGTACTGAAGAGTTGATCCGTTGATTACACAATGCAATACAAATGGAAATACATAATATAACATAACATAACATAACATAACATAACAAGTATCTCGCGCTCATAAATAACTCATTTTAGTTGAAAAAACAATGCGCGTGTTTACCCCAACCCGCGAATATGAACTAACAATGAGGAAGGGACAACCCGTGATTCATAACTGAAGATAAAGAATACGCAAACAACTAAATTCTTCTATACATGTCGTACTTATAGGTATATTACAGTGAGTATGAGTACACTTGTACTTATACATCTAATTCGTATAATGAAAGGGATACTGTGAACCTTTCACTCACGATTTGATTGTATCTTTTACCCCCTTTTTGATGGCTGATTGTTACCTCCCTCAATTTTTAAACACGTTATATTCCCATAAGATATTTTATTACTATTCATTGAGCGTAACGATTAGCTAATAATTGAAAGGAATTTTTTATTTTATTTTTAAGTGTGAGAATTTGTCATTTTGCACACCTTATAAGCGAAGCGTTGAGGTAGTGCTCTACTCTCGACATTTCAAAGAAAGAAGTTTTCTCGAAACTGAAATTGATTTTTTTTTAATTTTTATCGCACTTACAAATTAATCTGAGTGTACTAATATCGAGTCAAATAATTTGCCAGTCACATAAAATATATTTCAATAACAATTATTTTGTTTAACATAGTAAATAATAACATTAAAAATAATTCTGAATTTATTGTTGGCTTTGCCGGTCTATCTTAACGAAATTTTTTAATTTAATTATTCTTTATCTAAGAATTTCATTCTTTTTTTGTCTAAGAATTTTTTATTATCTAAGAATATTATACAGGCTTACGATAATAAAAAAATTGTTAGACAAAAAAAGAATGAAATTCTTAGATAAAGAATAATTAAATTAAAAAATTTCGTTAAGATAGACCGGCAAAGCCAACAATAAATTCAAAATTAAAAATTAACCTGTCTTCAATAAAAATATTATAAAAAATTAAAAATAATCTTTTCTGGACGTCCGTGTGTCCTTGTTTATGGATTGGTGTATGTGGCAGGGAAATTGGTCGAAAAAATGATCGTACCCGAATAATTTTTTTTTTTTATTATCTAAAGTAACACACGACGTTAAATTATTATTTATAAAAAACAAATACATGACTGTGTATATCTATCTATCTATACATTTTATTATAGTATTTTTTTTCCTCATCTTAGAATTAAACTAAACCATAGCAGAGTTTTCTGTTTTTTATATTTTATTTTAATCAATTTTATTGTGAAAAATGAGATTATGAGGCGTGTACTTCTGGGTTTTCCAAAATTTTTTTTATTTATTTCAATTTTTCAGTTTTACGGTCACTTGATTTTTTTTAAACATTTTTTTCCCAAATTATCATTAAATTTTTCTATTAATTAAAAGAAAATTTATAGAAAAATTAATATTTAAAAAAATGATTTTCTTTTTAATTATTCTATTTTTGATTAACTTAACCAAATAAAAAATATATTATGATTGATTAAAAATTCTAATCATTTTAATGAGAAAATATTGTATAGTCCATAAATCTAAACGATAAATATTTCGCAAATATTTCTAAAAAAAACAATTGATAGATAATTAAATATCGCGCGTAATAAACTCCAAAGACCGTTACTCGATTCCTGATTCGGTAAACCGATGACAGAAATAATTATAATGATTACCCTTGACGTAAAGCGGTTCGAAAAATATTTAAATTCCACAAGCTGAATTATTAACATTCCATAATAAATATTACACTGCGAATCTTTAGAGAAGGTGTAATGCAGTTCAACATGCGAGGAAAATATTTTACACGTATTAATCTAAACTCCACCTTCGCCGATTCTGTCCATTGACTTTTGAAGAAGTGTCTAGCGTGTCTACAAAACAGATAATGTAACGGTGGTACGATAAGACGTTTAAATTACACGAGTTACTAAATATCAGCACGATAGATAATTCCTAAAAATAAGTAGCCTATTTTATACATATTACTTATTTAATTCCAATTTAGTTTACAGTTATAAAATTTTAATTTCAAGCTTTCAGATAAAATTCGAAAAAAAAAAAAAATACGTACGCTCTATTTATATTTATTTACACTTAATACTTTACTGCATACTAAATAAAATCCCGCGTATGTACTTAAAAAAAAAAAATAAGAATTTGCTATTAATTCAGCTGGATTGGAACGTGAGTTAATGCGGGTACTCCCATTCCTTATATATTTATATATTTATATATGTGTGAAGTAAGCGAACATGTCCCTTGTGGATAGTTAAAGGTGACTCGCGACTACTTAACTCTCTTAGCTCTAATCCACCAACAAAACGTGGGAATGTTAAACAAGCGAAAATGAAATACGGTAATTGCATTAATTAATCCCCCGCGTCGATCATTTACCGGGTACAGAGGACACAAGATCAAAAGTTTAATTAATTTCCGGATAAATAGATTCATTAAAATACTCTGTTGGTTTGTCTAATTGCCAATTTATTGATTAATTAAATAAAAATGAAATACCGCAGGCAGAAAAGTAAAATCGTTAATTCGAATCAATTTGATACGGATTCAAATGAAAGTACAGCGAATAAAAAAAAGTAAACGGGATGATTAGTTTGAGAAAATGGAGACTGAAAATAAAAGCAAGACAGTGAATTCACTGAATTAACTTAACTTGGAGTTAAGTTGGCTCGAAGGAAAAGTCTTAAACGGTCAGCCGGAATTACTAGGACGGTTTGTCGCGATACCTGTCCCCAAGTGTATCATCGACAGGTAAAGATCTCGCTCGTTCGAGACTCGGGCATTGACTCGTAACGGGTTCAGGCTTGTCCCGAGAGAACATTGCTGTATAATATTATATTATATGTACGCCGTTTATGTTCTTCACGAGTTTATATTTACGTGCTCACTACTTAACGTGTTTCGTGTCTCGTAAGAGCTGTCTTCTCATTATTTAGGCGCTAAGGATCTTTCATCTATCATTTCTAATGTTGATTTATCCTTAAACTGCTAAATTAAGTTTGCCGTTTTTCAAATATTAGCTAAAATTTGAAAAAAAAAAAAAAAAAAAAAAAAATTTTTTTTTTCAATATTAATTTATTCAATCGTAAAATGAGATTTAAAATTTTTAATTCCTTTGATTTGCAATTCTTATAATATTTTTTGCTCAATAAATAATATTGTTTGATGAAAATTAATTTAGTAGATATTTAATAATTTTTTTAACAAATAAATTATGACAAAAAAAATTGACAAGTAGAAATTTTAAAAAACTAAAAATGCAATATTTAAAAATAATTTGTTAGAACAAATTTATTTGTTAAATAAATCTAATAAATTATCAAGTGACTGTTAACTTTAATTTCATTTTTTTGATGAAAATTAATTTCGCAAATATTTAATAATTTTTTTAACAAATAAATTATGACAAAAAAATTGACAAGTAGACATTTTAAAAAACTAAAAATGCAATGTTTAAAAATAATTTGTTAAAACAAATCTATTTGTTAAATAAATCTAATAAATTATCAAGTGACTGCTAATTTTAATTTCATTTTTTTGATGAAAATTAATTTAGCAAATATTTAATAATTTTTTTAACAAATAAATTATGACAAAAAAAATGAGAAAAAAAATTGACAAGTAGAAATTTTAAAAAACTAAAAATGCAATTTTTTAAAAATAATTTTTCAGAACAAATTTGTTTCTTAAATTAAACTAATAAATTGTCAAAAGACTGCTAACTTTAATATCATTATTTTTTGTTTTTAGATCCATCATTGGCATTACTGCTAGTCCTAGCGTGCTCACTGTGTATAACAGCGGCAACTTCGCCGTGCCCGTGGGCATCACACATCACGGAGCTAGAAAATTCGTGTATATGCGATTACAATTTAGCCCGAGAGTTATCCGTTCAGTGCGATATAGTAGACTTTAATCAATTATTATCAGCAATAAAGAGGTACGCGGTGCGATCAATAGTCGACTTGTTTTACGTGAACAACAGCACAGTGGGAGTCCTAAAAAATGGATCCTTCTCGACGATACGGATCAACAATATGCAATTGTCTGGTTGCAAAATAACTTCTATTGAGGATAACGCCTTTCGTGGTCAAGAACTTTCTCTAAAGACTCTCAATCTGAAGGACAACGAATTGGAAGAAATACCAACGAGCAGCCTGAGATCTCTAAGAAATCTCACAGTTTTGGACCTTTCGCTGAACAAAATAACAAAGGTCGAAGACAACGCGTTTAGAACTCTCAAGCTGGTGACTTTGAAGCTGGCTGACAATGAGATAACTCTGGCTCCCGCGGCGTTTCGCGGGCTCGAGAAGACGCTGAAGAATCTGAACCTCAAGGGAACCAAGCAGAAGAAAGTTCCCGAGGCTCTTCGCGGTCTGAAGACACTGGCCTTTCTGGACTTATCGCAGAACAGCATCCGAGAGCTTCCCGGAGCCGCAGGCCAGAAGGGCTTCGAAGGCCTGGACTCGTTGACGGGCTTGAATCTCGAGCGAAACTTAATCCAGAGTATCGGCCCCGACGCTTTTCACGGGGTTAAAAACACTCTCAGCTCGCTGAGTCTTCTCAATAATTTAATTCCGGATTTTCCTACGGCCGCAATTAACAGCATTCACGACCTGCGTGTCTTGGACATCGGGTTCAACCTTATCACCGAGCTGCCGGTCAATGCATTCGCTAATAACCCTTCGGTAACGCTGCTTGCAATCGATGGGAACCCTCTGTCAACTGTACCCGAGGAAGCTCTCGCGAGGCTCAACGGAACTCTCCGTGGCTTGAGTCTCGGCGGACGGTTTCTTGTCTGCGATTGTAAATTACGGTGGATCGCGCAGTGGATAAGAACCAAAGATCTTCAAGTCACGAGTCGGGAGCGTAAGCCGCAATTTTGCGGAAGTCCTCTCAGATTGCAGGACCGTAACTTTTACAGCATCGATCCTGAAGGTAAATTTCATTTTAAATAATCTATATTATTAAGAGATATAAGACAAATTTTGTGTCCAGGATAGTCATATGATAATATCGGTTTTTTTAAGTGAAATTTAGTATCATTGCAAAGGTCTTGACTTGAATTTGTGCCTTTTCAAGGTTTTATTTCATTCGCGCCGATAGTCAATTTATTATGATAAGTATTAAGGCTGCATTTAAAAATGCTCTATCTCTAGAAACATAATTAAGAAATGACGTTGTATCTCGTAAACTATTGACATTTTTAAAGATATAAGCTCATCCCGATGTTACACTCATCAAGACCTTTCATTTGAGTACCCACATCAATTTTTCATATATTTTATATATTTATATATGGGCGATTCTCTGTAAGGACGTCTTAAATCTGGTACAAAATTGGCCGACCAAATTATTTTTGATTTTATTAGAAAAAAAATTAACAAGGGCTATAAAACTATCAGCTTAATCATAATAAATAAACAGCCGATTTAATTTTTGCTTTTTCGACATTTGTGTATCTTTTGCCATACTATATAATATGACAGGGGAAAAATAAACAGCCGATTTAATTTTTGCTTTTTCGATATTTGTGTATCTTTTGGCATATAACATCACAGGGGACTGTTTGCCAAGGGACTTTTTTTTTTATCACGTTGAGAAAAATCAAGCAAACTATTTCAATGCATTCAACTTTTCAAGTTCTCAATTAATGTTTACATTAATTAGAATAATATTAAGACTTATAGATCCAATTTTGTAAATAAATTATAAATTATAAAGCAAACCAGTGCAATTAATACTTTATATAAGAAAGATAACCGTCTGGATGTTTATAAGATTAGTAATTCTAAGTGCTTCTCTAAACTTTATCTGTCAAACATTGTATAAACTGGAGCATAATATTTATTCTTCCTAGTTAGTTAATTAATTAGTGAATTATCATAATATAACTCTTAATTTAAACATATTGTATCAAATTATATGTAATATGGAACCCGATTAATGGCTTTGCTGTAGGGTTCATTAAACTTATAAAAATAAAATAAATAAAAATTGTTGCCAGGGGACTGAGTTTTGAAGTGACCCAGACACATATTTCCAGCACAAACGGTGCTTTGACACTAAATTAAAAGGCGATAAAGCGCTAACAGCCCTATGATTATTAACTCAAGGCTAGTTAGGTCGATATAAACCTTACAAAAGGTAAAATAACACGCTGGATTTTTTTTTTAGCTTTGAACTTCTGGCAGGGGACTGTTCTTAAAATGCCTGGGACAAAATTTGGTTTAATGAATTTAATTAACAAAATTAATTTTCGGTACTTTTTATTGAAGAAGATTGTTACTTAACTAATTAAGTTTAGAAACATTATGGACCAAATTATATATTATGGATGAATAACTTAAAATTTAATCTTAAAGTTTTAATTTTGGGAATGGGACAACCCAGGGGACTGTTATTTCGGTAGTTTACGAATTTATAGTAAAAAAACCAAAATTTATTTCATTTTAGTTTTCAATGCTCCAAATAGAAATGTTTTTTTACTTTCGTAATAATTTTTTTTTAGTAACAAAATAACAATTTTTCTAATAAAAAAATGCCTGGGACAGCAAAAAATATCTTTACAGAGAATCACCCATATATGAATATATGAAAAATATATCAAAATGTATGTGAGTACTCAAATGAAAGCTCTTGATGAGTGTAACATCGGGATGAGCTTATATCTTTAAAAATGTCAATATTTAAGAAAGTACAGTGCAATTTAACAGAAGTAATTATTTAATAAAGTAAAATTTTATTTATTTATAGTTCACAAGTCACAGCAGTCTCCTAGTGACTGCAAGGTTGCTAGTAATATTTAATTTTAAAAAACATTATTAATAAAACCTGGAATAAAAAAAATTTTTTAGTATAAATTATTTAAATTAATTAAAAAAAAAATGATTACAGAATTAATGTGCGAAAGACCATCAGAAATAATTGGAATAGGAACGGTAGAAAGTGTGGACACAAAAGAGCCAACGGGCCCCGTAACCGGAGTAGTCGATGAATTACTCCTAACAACCCGAGTGTCACCGACGACTCTCTCCTCTCCGTCATCGCCGTCATCAGCCTCCTCGTTATCATCATTTGCATCGACAACTCCACAGAAGACAACCCAGAAAATAAATACAACCACCATCGTTACGACTCCCAGCACGACAATTGAGCTTAAATCAACGGAGATAACGACTCCCTCGACTGTCCAGGTGTCCACGACAGTGCGACCTACTGCAAGAACTGGAAACGTTGTGATAGTTCGCACAACCTTGCCTCCACCAGTTCGGAATTCTGAGCACGGTAGCTTGCCCCAGCACCAGCCGCGTCCTCCTCTTGTCCTCGGATCTCCTTTATATAAATCAAAGGCCGAGAAAGATATCATTGTTAAAGAGGCCTTGAGGCAGGATAATTCGGTGATCATTTCCTGGGACAGCGAGACTACCAATATCCTCGGGTTTCGCGTTGTTTATAGGTCTTTCGGCGATACTAGTTTCAAACAGGGCCCGCCGTTGGAAGCCAGTGAGCGCGAGTTCAAAATTAAAAACGTTCCTTCGCAGGTAAATATATTTTTTTTGGTTTTTTATAATGGTGATAAATGCCTGAAAAATAAAATTTAAAATACTTGTTAAATTTTTAACCAAATTTATTTCTTAGCTAAAAAAATAAAAATTTTTCTAACAGTAAAAAATTTATTTGATTTTGAAAAAAATAATTTTAAATAGACAACTTGCGAATTTTCATCCAAAAAAATTTTTATTTTTTCAGCTAAGAAATAAAATTATTAAAAATTTTAAACAAATTAATTTTTTACTAAAAAATTGTGGTAATTATTTATAAATGGGGTCCACCCTATTTTTGGCCATAACTAGATGACAAATTATACATTTTTGATTTTTTTTTTATTCTGCTTGTTTTTACGGCGCATTTATGATAAAAAATATCGAGAAAGAAAAAAATAAAGATTTCGATAGCTATTTTGCCTTCAAAAGTTGGAAAAAATTTTGGCTTTCATGTTTTTGGGTACAATTTCTATTTTATCTTTTTTTGATGTTTTTAATATATATATTTTTTTTTTTGAAAAGTATAAAAAAAAATGAACAACTTAAAAAAAAAGTTGAATATCACAATTTTCTAAAAAATTTATTATTTTTATTTAAAATTTGTTAAAATTGTGATTTTTTTATTTTTAATTGTTCATTTTTTTATGTATTTAAAAAAAAAAATATATTAATAAAATTAAATAGAAATTTCATTCAAAAAAATGAACATTAATATTGTTGACTCCACTTGTAAATATTTACCTTAATTTTTTACTAAAAAATTGCTCATTTTTTTCAAAACAAATTTTTTTTCTCAATGCATAAAAAAAACAAACTGATATAAAAACCAAAGAGTAAAGAGTTAACTGTGTCAGTTTGTAAATTGGCGGTTAAATCGTCATGTCCTAAATAAACAGTTTGGTAATTGGAATTAATTTAAATTTATAAAATTACAGGAGTGCATTGTGGTCTGTGTGGTTTTGCTTGAAGAAACAAACATAACTCCAGCGAACGTGCCGTACAACCAGTGCAAAGAAGTCCGCCGAGAAAATTCACCTACGTCAAACATCGACAAGCTAACGACAATCGTATGCGCGGGAATTTCCATGACACTAATCCTGGCTTTGGTGATAATCTTCATTGTGTCGCGAGTGCGCTCTAGAAAGCTGCACACGTTGCACAGCATAGACCAGACCAAGATGGGAGGACCTATTTCAGGACTGCCCGTGAATTGCTGCTCTAACGTCGGTCCCACGCCCAGTCCAGCGGGTCCTCTGGCTTCTATGGCTACTCTCAGCGCCTACAATGCTCAGAAAGAGTGGGACCAAGTGTCCGCTTACAGCAACAGAAGCATTCCACGGCCTCGGATCTTCCCTATTGATCGACAAGGTTCATTGGATACATTTAAATAAAATTAATTAATTAAGGGGAAAATCTGGACCTGAGACTCGAAGCTCCCTGGCCCGGGGATTCCCCTTAATTAATTAATTAATTTATTAATTAACAATTTAAATGATTTAAAAAAACATTTGTAGGGTCTATGTCACGTGGTCCATGTATAGACGAAGTAAGGTCGCAGGCGAGTCATTACGGAGGTAAAATATCATCGCGCTCAGTAGCTGATGGTCAGTCACAACACAGCTTTGGGAATAACTCATCACGTTATTTTGCAAACACTGCTCTTGCTAACAATCTCGTCAATACAAGACCAGGTACTTGATAATGAACCAGGGATAAAAAGAAATAAATCTAAACCTAGATGTAGATCTATTCTTCTAAATGCTTAACATTTCTTCTCTGGCACTATCACCTGAATTCTGAAATCAAATCTGATTGATCCTAAAAATAATATAATAAAATATTTCTTTACTAATTTTATTAATTGAAATTTTATAAATGTAAAAGAAAATATTTATCGCGACAGAATTACGTCAGTCGCGACAGTCACTAGCTGCGGCATCTGATCGTATGTCACGTAATGGTTACCCAGGGAATAATAATATGCCACCACACGCATCGGCGCGTCGCCAGCGCCCAAGATCGAGGAACCGTACGATGGAACCGAGCCACCAGCAACAACAACAGCCACCACCTCCAAGACCGGGCAGCCGGTACAGCTTGGCTGACTCAACTCACACACTTAATAATTACGAAGAAAGTAATTGGACCGATCATGATATGGACATTTACATGTCACGCAATCCAACAACCAGGAGCGGTCTTGTACCGCTTTAAATTTATTATTTTCATTGATAGATTTATTAATTAGGATTTTAATATTATTAGCTGCTGTGTATTGCTTGTGTGTTTAATTAGCCACAAATGGAGTCTTAATCAGTAATATCTTAATTATAAATATATAAATATAAATAGCTTTAAATGTATAGGAAATTTTAACTATGTATGTCTCTTATTTTTAAGAGAATTATTTTTATAATTAACTATAGTCATTTTTTATAAAAAAAAAAAATTGTAACGAAACTATGTTTGTAATATTTATATTTTTTTTTTATTAATTTTAATTAATTTTAAGAAAAAAAAATTCAAAACAGTTACGTTGAGTAAAAATTAATGGATTTAGATTAATGTGTTGTCCAAAGACTGTAACATGACCGGGAGCATTTGCTCTTAAGATTTATAATGATTTTATTATTAATTTAATTATCTGTTAAGGTAAATGGTAAATTGTAATGTAAATTATTTTAGATCTACAAGGTGCAATCAAATACAATCCATTTTTATTTTTAATTTAAATAATAAATAAATTGTTTTTTTTTTTGTTTAATTATTTAAAACTTAATAAAAAATTTATCGGGCATTTATAATAAATAAAATAAATGTTCAAACACTTACCCAGGAATGAGAATACTCTCGTCCCATCGATACCGCATTTCTTGAACAAACTCGTGCCAAATTTGAGCTACGGCCTGAATACCTCCGAGATTTTGCCTGCAATGAGCAGTTACAATTGCTAGTCTCCAAACCAGAGAGTCCAGGGCACACGTTTTGATGCCTTTCCATAAATCTTCGTCAATATTCGACCCAATCTCGTCATACATTGCTTTCTACAAAATTAATAATAAATAATTTATTAAACTAATAACTAGTAACCTTTCAGTCACTATGTGACTGCCGTAACTTGTGAACTATAAATAAATAAATAAAATTTTGCTTTATTAAATAATGATTTTTGTTAAATTGTACTGTACTTTCTTAAATATTGACGTTTTTAAAAATATAAGCTCATCCTGATGTTACACTCATGAAGAGCTTTCATTTGAGTACCCATATGCATTTTTTATATATTTTATATATACGATATTTATAAAAAATATGAAAAGCGCATGTGGCTACTCAAATGAAAGGTCTCAATAAGTGTAACATCAGAATGGACTTATATTTACGAAAATGTTAAAAATTAAAGAATCACTGTTGCATTTTGTTAACTATTGACGTTTTTTAAGATATAAGCTCATCCCGATGTTACACTTATCAAGAGCTTTCATTTGAATACCCACGTGCATTTTAATATTTTTTTCAAATATTCATATATATATATATATATATAAATATATAAAATATATGAAAAATTGATATGGGTACTCAAATGAAAGGTCTTGATGAGTGTAACATCGGGATGAGCTTATATTTTTAAAAATGTCAATAGTTTACGAGATACAACGTCATTTCTTAATTATGTTTCTAGAGATAGAGCATTTTTAAATGCAGCCTTAATACTTATCATAATAAATTGACGGTCGGTGAGAATGAAATGAAACCTTGAATAGGCAAAATTTCAAATCAAGACCTTTGCAATGACTAAATTTCACTAAAAAAAACCCGATTTTATCACATGACTATCCTGGATACAAAATTTTTCTTATTCTCTTAATAATATAGATAATAATAAGAATATTTCATTGATAAAAAAATATTACCGATTGTTCGTCCGCGTCAGGGAATAAATAGTACAGAATCAGCATCAAAGTGTCATCAGGAATGGGTCCATCATTTTTGTTACTCTTTTTAGAAGACGCGCGACTCATGACTTTGGATATCGTAGGAATTTTCGACTCTGTGACAATATTGAAAGCCGAGCTCAACATTTGGTCGTTGTCGACATACGCGTCTCCCAGTATGTCTACCAGCAATTTCTGGTTATTGCAGAGGTTCAAAAAACCTTTTAGGTGCTCTTCAAGCAAGCTAGGCGGTGTGGCGACCATTTTCACTCTCGCCGACCATTCTGTGGCCAATTGAGGCTCCAAATCCGTGAAACTTTCACTGTCTACCACGATATTCTCAGACATTTGAGGCCATGTAGCGTAAACTTGAAGTTCTCTATAAATAAAAATTTACTTTTCATAAAGAATAAATATTTTAGTTGTTTATTTATTTGGGTAGTTAACTTACGAGACTGGATCTACTTCAGCTCCAAAAGGAAGCTTACCAAGCTCGTTATTAGTCACTGGTTTTCCTTTCATGAAATCAAAATGCGGCTCCGTTAACCAGTCTTTGAGCACGTATGCAAACCGAATAGATACCATTACTGGATCTAGTCTCACTCCAGAACCTTCACCTATTTTTTGCTTAAATAACGCCAGCAATCCTTAAAATTAAAATAATTTATTATTTTTTAATTTGTTTTAATTATAAATATTGTTAGTATAAATTTTATTATAATTATACTGAAGTTATCAGGCACCTGACAATTAATTAATTTTATTTAAAAAATAATTTAGCATTAAAAAAATTATTTTTAAAATAAATTTTCAGATATCTTTTCATTTTAGTATTATATTTTAATCAATAACAAATTACCAGTAAGATGACGACAATGTGGTGGAGTTTTTTTTAAATGAACCATATCCAGGTGAGTAATTGTTCCCTTGCCAACAATGACACCCAAATAATATTTTTGCCATGGTTCTTGTACTTGAACTAAAGCTGGAACTTCACTGTAAAAAAATTATTTAAATTAATTAATTAAGTAATAAAAAAAATAAATAAATAAATAAAAATTACCTGTTAGAATTGGTGGATGCGATTGTCAACGAACTGACAAGGATTTTAATCCTCGTTTCATCAGAGATAGAAATTTTTTTCGCTGGAGTCAAAAGCACAAACTCACGGATTCCATAATATCGGGCTATCTCCAGATAATCTTGATCGACACGTGCAAAGTCATTGGTGATATTGAGAACATCAATGTGACTTTGAGTGCTAGAATCCTCGTCAGAAGTCTCGGAGTCGATCTTGTCAGTAGAATCACTTGTTTTGAGCTTAAAGTGCTTGAACAAAAAGGGGTAGTTTGCGAAATTCAATTCTTCGGACTTGACTTCCCAAGTTAAATTGACAAAGTCTCCAGATTTCAAGGCTGGTTCGAGTTTTGAATGAGGAAGTTTCCACTCGTGAATTATTTCTTCCAGACGGGCGATAAATACTTCCCACTCGGAAGCTGTGGTGAAGTCGTGGTGATAAAAATCTTCTATTTCTACGTTATGCATGTCAACTACCCATTAATTTTCCTAACTAATTATTTTTTAAGTTAATAATTATTAATTGACTTTTATTTTAAGCAAGTCAACAGATCACTTACACTTTAACCATATTCCTTTGTTTGACATATTTGTAAACGTTGAATCAGCTGATTGCGCGCATGCGCATTGAAAAAAATGTCAATGCCGGGAAAATCTTAAAATCTTAAAATTTTTAAATTTTAATTTATTTTTTTTTTTTAATTTAAATTTCAAAAAAAATAAAACTAAATGTTTTTTTTTTTTTTTTTTTTTTTTTTATTTTACACTTATTAATAATTACTTTTCATCATAATAATAAACTACAAATTAAATTTATTTTAAAAATTCAATAAAATTTTTTTCTTTAATAAAAAAAATAGCAAAATTTTCTAAAAAATCATTATAAAAGAAAATCAAAAATTTTTCTTGATCTGAGTGATAAAAAATTACATAAATATACTTAATGACAAAAATATATAATCCAGATGGAGATAAACCCAACTGACATGCTTACTCAGTGAGTAAACATCGGTCACATGTATAATAAGCGTCATTGAAAATATTTTTCACGTATCTTAGGGGCAAGGGGCGGCGAGAGGTGAGTAATAAACGCAAAACGGAAGCCGCTAACCGTCATGCATAGGTTATCAGTGTTAGTTTGCTCCAGCATAGGCGCAGCGAGTAATTGTCACCACGGATCTCTAACAGCAGCTCCTAAAAATCAAACATCCCGTTTATTTAGGAAGTACGCTCATGCTCAAAAGCCGGTTCATCACTAGAGGGATCTTTCTATTCCTGATATGAGGGCTTCGATACACTATTATGTGTACCATGTTCATATAAAATGCTATATATAGATCATACATAATACATACCTAGTTTACTTTACTCCAGTACCCGTCCTACCGTCTATTCAGTAGTTGTTCTCGTTTTCGCGTCTGCAATCAATTATAAATCTAAAAAATTTTATAAAAAATTCCACATTTTAAAAAGTAGTTATTTTATAATACTGAAGTTAGCTGAGAGCTGTCAATTTTTAAAATTTTCATAATAATAAAAAAATATTCTTCTAAAAATTTTCACTATATATAGTTTTGTTTAAATTTTCACATGTGGATTTTTTTTATTAAATTTTTTTGATTGTTATAAAATAATAAAATTTTTTAATTTCTGTCAACTTCAGTGTTATATTATTTAGTGTTTTAAATTATAAAAAAAATTAATTAATATTTACAAGAGACTAATCAATAAATTTAAAATATTTTGATTCAGTTTCCTTATTTTCTGATCAACCAGCGGTAATTCAGAAATTTCATTTGATACCTGATGTTACAATTGAATTATTGAATTAGCAAACATGCAAACATCTCTATTAAAATACACAACTAAATATACATAGCGAAATGCACGTGGATGCATATTGATAAGACATAAAAAGTTTAAACTGCTGACGACGACAAAAGTTCACTGAGTGTTTACTCATAAATAAAAATCTGCAATAATTATTTTATTTAAAATTAAAAAATAATAAAAATAATAACAAGTGTTAAGTACGTACTTAGTAATGAAAAAAAGCCGGTAGCCGGTGAAAAAAAAAAAAGGTGATGGTGAAACGGGATATTCGTTCTAATAAAAAGACGCCATATGTGGAGATGATTGACCAAATTAGTTTTAGGGTTCTGGATTAGAGCTTACCACGTGCTGAGTGTGACCTGCAATGAAAGTATACATGTACATGCGTTAAATTTAAAGATAACTATATATATTTATATATTTGTGTTTGTAGGTTTGGGCTGACTTGTGTGGGCTTGACGCTTAATCTTCAGTTTGAGAATTGGTGGTGAGCTTAGCTGGTCTGCGGTTGAAGAAGGAGAGAAGAGAATAAGAAGTGAACGAAATAAACGGTTTGCACCGGCCGGGTGGCTATACTAGGTATTATACGGTCTTATGGGTCGTTCCCTCCACGTGTATGTCTACTCACATGTACCATGTAATGTAAGTATAAGTAACATAAGCTTCTCTTCCACCAAATCAAAGTAAGTGGACGATGAACGATGAGTGCTGAGACAGTAGTAGGAAAGCAGCCAAGGCAACAAGACACGCGTCGATATTTTAAAAAAACATCTGCTCCATTCATTCATACTCTCTGAGCGGTTCATACTATTTGATAGTCTTCAGGAGTTTCATTTATTTTTTTAACTGAGTGATTTAATATTTTACAATGCCGGATAAAGTTGCGCCAGCAGAGCACCAGGTTTTGCCCGCCAAAGCCAAGGAACAGAGTGTTAAGTTGAAAAAGGAACTGGGACTATTGGATGGAGTTTCTATTATTGTTGGAGTTATTGTTGGTGCTGGAATTTTTGTTTCTCCACATAGTGTTTTGGACAAAAGCGGGAGCATTGGATTTTCTTTGATAGTATGGATTTTTTCTGGATTACTTTGTTTGGTTGGTGCTCTTTGCTATGCAGAATTAGGTAATTATTTTTTTTTTCTTTTTATCATAATTAAAATTAAGTTAGCCGACATCTAAAAAATTTTTATAATTTTTTTATTGAAAAAATTTCATTTGTAAAAAAAATTGAAAAAACTGCAAGTGCAATTTTTAAAAAATATTTTTTAGTTTTAATAATTAAAAAAATTTTTTTAACAAATAAATTATAGCAAGAAAAATTTATTTAAAAAATTTTATTTTTGAAAGCTCTAAAAAATTATAAATGAAATTTTTTAAATAAAAATTTTCTAAAGTTAATTTTATTTTCAAAAAAAATTAAAACATTGTCAAGTGTCTTAATTTCAATGTCTTTTTTTAGTATTTATATTTGACAGAGTAGACAATTTTTTCTAAAAAATTATTGAATATAAAATATTTATGTAAAATAAAACAAATATTTAGACTTTAAAAATTAAACCATTGTTAAAAAAAAAATATTTTTACCGCCTGGAATTTTGTTTGTTTAAATGAACTTTGATGGGTATTTAAAAATATTAAACTAACAATGAAAAGCCATATGTTGCGTCATTGCATTCTTTAAATATTATTTTATTATAATGATAAAACTCAAAATATTTAAATGGCAGTATTTCTTGAGTAGTTTGAATAAATAATTATTTCGCGCCAATTTATAGATATTTAAATGGGAAGCCCTTGTTTAGCTGCTTTTAAATCCTCGATAGTATGATGAAAAACTGCGATAAAGTTTCAGTTACCTTTGAATTGAGCGTCGCTGACGCAACACATCGCGAAATGTACGAGGTGCATCGATCCGGTGGACCATGAGAGAAGCAGAGGTGTTTTTGCTAAAAATAACCCTTTGTGAATTTATTTTTGTAAACCCTTTCAAATTTATTTGCATATTTTCAGGTTAAAATGGAACAATGCAATATTTCTTCCCAATGCGAGCGACAATGTCAATTTATACTTAATATTTTTATTTTAGCTTATCAATAAAAATTTTTTAATTAAGCTACAATTATCTTTATTAGCAATTAATAAATAATTATCTTTTTAGGAACAATGATACCCAAGTCCGGGGGCGACTATGCGTATATAAGCGATGCATTTGGACCACTACCTGCCTTTTTGTATTTATGGGTCGCATTGTTCATACTAGTACCTACTGGTAATGCAATAACTGCGTTAACTTTTGCGATATATATTCTAAAACCCTTCTGGCCTGACTGTGAGCCGAATTATGAAGCCGTACGGCTATTAGCCGCTGTTGTAACGTGTATGTATACATATTATTATTTAATAACTACAATTTTTCTCACCGTCTACTTACAGAAAAAAAAAAAAAAAATAAAAATAAACTTACAACCTCTTACTTCCACAAGATAAAATATTTTACACTTTCTAACAATATTTTAAATTGCACTATCTTTAAATTTTTTTTTTTAATGTTTCTCTACTAAATAATTATCGTAATTTTATTTATCAAAAATTTCTCAACGATTCCTGGATATTACATAAGTAAAATTAACAAGTTTGAAATTAGTTCAAAAGTAATCGTACTGATAAAATAACTTGGCTGAATAAATATCAAAAATTTACAAGATACTTAAAAATTAAGACATTAAAAATAAAGATATATATTTTCAGGTTTGCTCACTGCAATAAATTGCTACAATGTCAAATGGGCGACGCGCATCCAAGATATATTTACCGGGACCAAAATATTTGCTTTGATAGTAATAATAGGCGCTGGATTTTGGCATTTATTTGCAATAGGTCCTGAGAATCTCATAAACCCAATGGGAGGAACTAACACCTCGCCAGGTTACATCGCCGTTGCTGTTTATTCCGGACTGTTTTCCTACTCCGGGTGGAACTACCTTAACTTTGTAACTGAGGAACTAAAAGATCCCTATCGGTTTGTAAATATTTAATTTATCTAAAAATTTCACCAAGTTAAGTTATTTTTAAACTGTGATTTATGATCACAATTACAATCTTATCAATTCTTTAAATATTTTATGTAACTACAACAAAGTATTACTTAATTAATTATCTATTTTAGAAATTTGCCACGAGCTATTTGCATTTCATTGCCGCTGATAACGATTATTTATGTCCTGGCAAACTTTTCTTACTTTATCGTCCTTACTAAGCAGGAATTTTTGACGTCAACAGCTGTTGCTGTCGTAAGTATTTTTTTTAAAATAAATTTTAATTTTTAAAACAATTATTAATTTAATTTATTAAAATTTATTTAATTTTTTTTAATAAACAAATTTGTTCCAAAAAATTATTTTTAAAAAATTGCATTTTTAATCTATTAAAATTTCTACATGTCAATTTTTTACTCATTTTTTTTTTTTACATAATTTGTTTATTAAAAATTTTTTTAATAAATAAATTATGTAAAGAATTGAATAATTTTATCAAATATCTGGTAAATAAATTTAAATATTAAAATTTCAGACTTTTGGTGGAAAATTATTGGGACCAATGGCATGGATAATGCCATTTTTCGTGGCATGCTCAACATTTGGTGCTCTTAACGGCGCAATATTCGCCTCATCACGGCTATTCTTCGTCGGAGCACGAAACGGACATTTACCCAATGCGATAGCACTTATTAACATTAGAAACTTAACACCAATGCCAGCTCTTATCTTCCTAGTAAGCACTTTTTTTGTTATCTCATAGGATATTAGCATTATTAAAGATTAAATAATATAAGCATTAAACGGTAGACGTTTATTGTCTTATTTACTGTGCACCGTATGATTTCAAGTGTATCGGCGCCGATAGCTTTCAAATATTTAAACAGATAAGAAAAAAATAAATAAAAACGCCTAGAAGACTTATGCGGGCGAGATAATTACTTACGGCTTGACTAGTCACAGCGCATGGATAAGATTAATCACGAAATTCAGATAATTATATTAGAGTACTAAATTGGAATTTCTATTCAGTAGTTTAGCGGCTTTGTCGGTCCATTAACTGAAAAATTAGACTGGCCCGGGATTGTTATTTGAGAATTAGCGTGAGAAGATATTTGTTTTATTTTATTTTTGATATGGAAATAATTATTTAAAAGTATTTATCGCTAATCGGGCTCGGTGGAGTGCGAGAGTGTAAGTGCCATGGGCGGGTGTGAGGGTTTAAAGAGTGCAATTTGCTAAATTATAATTTCCGTTTTGTAGTGCATTATCACGCTGGCGCTGCTGATACCAAAGGACATTGACGGACTGATCACTTATGTCAGTTTTGTTGAGGCAGTCTTCATTACGATGTCAGTATCGGGTTTGCTATGGTTGAGGTACAAACGACCTGATCTTCATAGACCTATTAAGGTATTTTTAATCGTCAATTTATTATTATTATTATTATTATTATTATTAATTATTACATACCGAGTTTTCAGTTATTTAATTATAAGAAGAAATATTTTTCTTAGAATATTATTTGACCCTATAAAAAAAATTTAATTCTTTTATTAGATTTAATTTGTCAAGGTTTTTAATTTAATTTATTATTGTAGTTCTAAAAATTTATTGATTTAATTTTTATTAAGTTTTTATTTTATAATTTTTAATAAAATTTTTATAAAAATTAATAAAATAATAAAATAAAATAAAAAAGAAACATTCTTTTTAGAAAATAATTTAACCCTGTAAAAAAAAATGTCATTTAATTTTTTTTTCATTCGATTTAATTTATCAAGATTTTTAATTTAATTTATTAGGTATCTAAAAATTCAATGATTTAATTTTTAATAAAAATTTAATTTTATAATTTTTAATAAAATTGAATTAAATAATAAATTTTTTTTCTAGGTATCACTGTGGCTTCCAATATTATTTTTAGTGATATGTATTTTTTTGGTAACTGTACCATGTTATGTAAAACCACTAGAAGTAGGAAGTGCAATTATGATTATTCTTTCCGGAATTCCAGTTTATTGGATTTTTGTTCAGTGGCAAAAGAAACCCAAGTGGCTTGAAAATGCTTCCCGTAAGTACTTATCTAATTTTTTTTTTTTTTACTAATTTTAATTAAAATATTAAATGAATAAATTTTTCAGATAACTTCAATGTAAGCTGCGCAAAACTTTTTATGTGTGTATCAGAAGAGAAAGATGACTGATTAAGAAAATAAAAAAGTAGTTATCAATCCTCTACTAACAAAGTTAGGATATAAACTCAAACAAATACTATTTGTTCAATTGCGCAATGAAAAGTGTCTTCAATGTTCAATTACATTTACACATAAATTTTATTATCTTTTTCTCGATAGAGTAAGTAAATCGACTTGCGTTTGAGTAAACAGTACGAGTTGTTTCTACAAGTCGATAAAGCGTATTCAGGCTTTTTATTATTATTATTATTATTAAATAGTGTTAGATAATTAAATAATTAATAATAAGCCTTCTGTAAAAACATATCAGACAATACAGTTTACTTGTAGATCCAATAATTATTAATGATAATGACTCGGAAACATTCCGAATTTAATTTAAGGACAATAATATTATTTATGTAATAAATAATAATAATTACAATTAGTCTTTTTTACGCTAGAGCTCAAACAACAACTATAAACTAGTGCCTAAATATTTATTAAGTCTTAAATAAATAATTATAAAATAATAAGTAAAAATAATGCAAGTGTTGTATTTATTTGTAATACTGAAATTTTTCATAAATAAATTCACATTAGCTTTAATTAATTATTTTTTATTGTTTATATTTTGGCACAGTACAATAGCATGACTAGCAAATAATTATGTTTTTATTTTATTTTATTTTTTGATTGAAAGACAATGAACATTGTACCAGTGTCGTAAATATTAATTAATGTATATTTAATAATAATTATTATTAATTGTTTCATCGTCAATTTATGAGCGAATGAGAATTTTAATTAATCAACATTTATATCACTTTTGAATTTAAATATTATAACAATTAAATAATTACTAAAAAAAATTTATTATTAACAAAATACCGTTTTTAAAATTTCAATCACTTAAAATTTAATGATAACGTGGCTTAAATATTTATTATTATTAACGCTAATGATTATATAGAAATATATATTTATATTTATGTATTGTATAATATGTTTATATTTATATATATATATATACTGGGAATAAAAGTAGCAACGCGTTAATTGGTGATTTAAAAGTTTGCTGATTGTTTTAAAAGTGTTAATTAACGGGTTACGAGTAAGCTTGGACCAATCGCAGTACTTGCTGCGTTATATATTGTTATTATATATTTAATTATATTTAAATGGGGTGAATGTATAAATTTAGCTTTAACTTCAACCTTCAGCCAGTGGTGGTGTCACCCATCCGTATTTTTCATGAGCTTTTACCAAACTTCGGAATGATTCTTCTGCTGAGCGGCGATTGAATTCTTTGTTTGTTTTTGGCTTTCTTGCAATGCGCCCCTAAAAAATATAAATAATTAAATTAATAAAACTATCAAAATTTCAATTAAAAATATTATTATTCAGGTACCTAATAATAAGTTACAAGAACTTTTACAAAGTAAACTTTCAATAAAAAATTAAGTTAAAATAAAAAAACTTTCATTTTCTTTTTAATTTTAATAAAATAATTAGTTTGCTTGTTGAAGAAAATAATAATTAGAGCAAATTTATAAATTGAAAATGATAATTAAAAGAAAAAAAGATTTATTAAGAAAATAATGATTGATTGAATGAAAGTGCATCTAAATCAAATTATCGAGTACAAAAGCCTTCTTGAGTAGCAAAACAAAGCCAATTGTTATCAATAACAAATCAATAATAATAATAATAATAATAATAACAACTAGCAACCTTGCAGCCACTATGTGACTTGTGAACTATAAAAAATTAAAATTACTGTACTTTCGTAAATATTGACGTTTTTAAAGATATAAGCTCATCCCGATGTTACACTCATCAAGAGCTTTCATTTGAGTACCCACATGCATTTTCATATATTTTTCATATATTCATATACATAAATATATAAATTATATGAAAAATTGATGTGGGTACTCAAATGAAAGGTCTCAATAAGAGTAACATCGGGATGAGCTTATATCTTTAAAAATGTAAATATTTCACAAGATAAAAGGTCATTTCTTAATTATGTATCTAGAGATAGAAAATTTTCGAATGCAGCCCTAATACTTTTTAAGTTATCCCTAATAAGTTTTACTTAAAAAAATCGATTTTATTATATGACTATCACTGGAAACAAAATTTTTCTTATTCTCTTAATAATATCGATAATAATAATAATAAATGGTACCTGTCCTTTGACTATACTAGCAGCAAATTGAGTAATAACAGCCTCAATAGTATATGCACTGGCCCACCCCCTGGGAGTGAGTAACTCCATACAAATAGCACCACCCTCCATGACAAAACCCTTCTCTATTCTGGGAGATATGACCCGCATGAAAGGCGGTGCAAATGGAAAGTTTTCCGGAAATGTAATATGTAACAAAATATGAGGAATATTAAGTTCCCTCATATCAGCAGCGAGCTCACTTTCGGGGTCTATTTTGTGGAGGCGCACGTGCCACTCGAAGAGGTTATCGTTTACGAGTTCAGCGGTGAAGGTCGCGTCTCTCTGATGCTGGGACTTTTGGATCTCGCTGAGCTCCTTCATCAGCCTCCTGAGCCTGACTCCCCGTTCGGGAATGCTCGTCTGGGCAGGACAGTTCCCCAGGTGACTCTTCTTAGACTTGCACGTGCAGAGTCTGTGAGTGCTGGTACCTGGGTCCTCTTTGAGGTGACTCTCTGCCGGGGTCACCGCGTCAGGCCGATGTCTGCCCAGCAATCTACGTGGGGAATTCGTCGAGCTGCTCGCATCCTCCTGATTGTGGTGGCTTGTTATCTTCTCGGAGGACCGGAAAATTTTTCTGAACGCCGCGACTACTTTCTCCTTTGATCTCGTTGTCATTTTTAATTTCTTCTCTGGTAATCGCTTTAATTTAGTCTGAAAAAATAAAATTTTGGTTAGTGAAAAAAAAATATTTTATTTCTAGCCATTGTTTTGCGATTAATATATTAATATTGACAAGTTTAATCACAGTTAACGCGTTAATCATTTTTATCATCAGTTAAATATAATTTTTCTTCTTTTTTTTCATTATTTATTTTATTTAATATTTTATTTTAGCCTTTTATTGTATCATGTCTTTTATATATTCATTTGTTCACTTTATATGAATCACTATTGACCAAGCTGTTATCCAAACGTTTAAATATATATGTATTCAAATAATGTCAGAAGTTTTTTTTTTTTATTAAAAATATATTCGCGTTATTTCTTTGTTATTTTATCAATTTTTAAACTTATTTTATTCTTTTTTTTTTTTTTTTTCATAAATTTCTTTGTTCACTCGAAAAATTTAAACATCCGCATTCTACAGAAAATTATAAATACATTTTTTTTTTTACATGTCATATTTATTACAATTTAAATGTCTTAATTATAATTTATAATTTACACTTTTTTTTTTTTTTTTTTAATTTAATTTATAAAAGTTAAAAATTTTTTTTTATTAATAAAATTCTAAATTAAAAATTAATTAAAAAAAAAAAAGTTATTACAGAGTAAAAATTTACACAGTAGTTCACAACAGATGCCTACGAATAAACTAAAACAAATAATTTCACACTGATAAGAATAAGACTAATATAAAAGTATTTAAAAAATAAAAACTCACCGACAAGAAGAAAATAAATCCATAACTAAAAAAAAATTTGAAACCATAGAATAATAATGAAAAAAATTGAAACTAAAACGAGAGAGAAACTCCAGCAAACAAGAAGAATTGTCACGTACTGGAGCGATGATAAGGCATGAGCAGAAAGCTGAAGAGTCTGTATCTAGTGAGTTTGGATGAATAAAGAGCCGCGCAGTCTCCTTACTCATTGAACACAGAGCAAGTACCAGCAGTACCAGCACCAGCACCAAAGGACGCTCACAGACTATACAGATAGACAAAAGAAAGAGACCGGATGTTAATGTATAAGTAAATTACCACTGACGTATAAGTAAAAGTACAAGTGTGAGTACATACTCTTCTCCGTGTTGGTATGCTGCGTCTATTCAGATACAGGCTTGACATCGAGTTACTTTTTTTTAAGTTTAAGGGATAACATGTGCACGGTAGCGCCGGAGCTGGAGCTCTGAGCATCAAACTCAAATTCCGTCGAAGCTTTAATTCTATATTCCATGACACGTAACGGTAACGAGCAAGCTCGACATCACTCACCAGAGCACCACTCGGCTCCGGTGCTCTGGTGGGAGACATAAATATCGATTAACCCGTGTGCTTTCTACGTATTGTTACTTTTGTCTTCTGTCTTTTAAATTGCGATATTTTAATTTTAATTACAGAACTGAGAATTGAGAACTGAGAACCTTCACCAGCTACTCAACACTCTACAAGATGTTGGATGTGTACGTAACATAAAATATTTTACAAGTCCATGAATTCTTGAGCCAAGGTCTTCCTGCTTTTTCCTAGTCGTGTCAAGGACGAGCTTCTGACCACCTCACTGCAAACTACGTCATTTTATAAATACATATGATATCTGTTACCTGAATACTTTTACACTCTACACGATTAATACTCCACTATTGCTATTTCTTCTTTTACTACTAAATACAACCTTGCTCGTATTAAATTATTTAATTACCAATAGGTCTTGTTTTCTCAAGACCTCAATATAAAATCTAGCGCAATTGGATTGTCTGAGGTTCTGACTGATAAGATAAACGACACTAGATATCAGAGAACAATAAAAGTTTTAAATAATTTCTATTTGTCTTCCCAGGGAACGACAATGTAGCTTCTGAGGTGGCTTTTGTTGAACAAATAGCGGAGGAATTTTTTCACCAGGTAACTTAAAGCTAAAAAGAGCGATAAATATTGAATCCAGGCTTGTTTCAGCTCCTCCCAGAGACATGGCTGGTAGTTGAGGTGCTGGTCCAGGTAGAACAGCTCTCCTGATATTGACACTGGCTCGCTTGCAGAAAATCCTGACTCCCAGGTCGCTTGGGTGTTTGTTACTTCCAATGAAACTAAAATTTTAATTAAATTAAATAGGTTTAAAAATAAACATTTTCCTTATAAACTTTTAATTGATAAGCTCATGATAGTAAATAATTAAAATAATAACTTACACTTTTTCCTTGCATAATAAGATAAAACTTGATCCAAAGAATGATCATGTAGCTCAATAGTTTCATTATTAACGTTATTGTTAATAATATCTTGAAAATTATCGCATTTCAAAAGACCCTTCTGATTTAATTTTAAATCACTTATTATGTTTATTTTCTGTGATTCGTAAGGCAAAATATAATTAATCATTGCCAGTGAGTCTATTTTATTGTAAACAGCGTCCTGAAAAAAAATTGTAATTATTATTATAATTATAATTGTTGAGAAAGAGTATTAAAAATAAATAATTGAAAGATTTGTTTACCCTGAGCTTGAGTTGAAAAAAAAATAAAAGCTTAATAGACTTGACAGGCGCTCTGGAATAGAACAAAAAGTTGAATTTAAAAACATCATTGTGCTTATCATTATTTATATCGAGCTGTTGTATTTTCACAAGAGTGCAATCATCTTTAATTGGATTTAGCTGATAAACGCTAAATGTAGAGCAGATGATTGGAGTTGAGTCAAAGTCTCCTTCGGCGATAAGCAAATACTTGTGTGTAAATTGCACGAGTGGGGTTTCAATGTAGACGCGATTACGCACCCAAAAACCGCCACTCTGGTACGCTAGTATTAGTGGTAATATTACTAACGCTGTTGTTAAAATAAATACTACTAGTGAGGCTATTGAACACACTCGGGTTTTATATCTGTACGTAATTGGCGTTGAAAACACATCAAGCGTTGACATGATCATCGTGTCAAACTTACTGACTGTAATTCGGTCTCTGAACTCTCAACACATGGTGTCATGCCTCGTGTTGCCTTGACAACGCTAACAAACATTTTACAATTCTTTTCACCTGTTACAAATATTTTTTATTGAATTAGAAATTAAAATTTCTTTAGTAATTAAATTAACATTAGAAATTACAGAAAATAGATAACTATCTATTTTATGTGTTTTTACAAATTTATAACATTAATTTTTTTTTTTAGTAACAATTTTTAAATTTATATTAAATAATTACTTGCCAATTTTTTTCATTAGTTAATTTTTTTTAACTATAGTTAATACTTCAATACATTTTATACTGAGTATACTTTTTAGTAAACGATTTTTATAACAAAATTTTCTAAACGCGAATTAATTATTAATTCATTATATCTTTATACAAATCTGAAAAATTTATATAAAATTAATTTTTTTAACAAAAATATTAAAAAAAAATTGATAATTAAACAACTAAAAAATAACAACTTATTCATAAAGTTCAAAAAATAAAATATAAATTATTTAATAATTCTATTCAACGTTTTTTTTTTTTTTTTCATATTAATTATTCTGTAAAAAAATAAAATACGTAAAATGAGTATTAATTATCATTTTGCGTAAGAATTTCCGCTGAACTCAACGCAAAATTTTGATTAAAGCCTGCTTTGACCAAAAAGTCATTTTTGGACTCAATTAATTGCAGCAAGTGGTCATCAACAGTCCCATTAGCGATGAGATATTGAATAACCACGGGACTGCGTTGACCAATTCGATAAACTCGATCTTCGGCCTGAACAAGGCTGCCTGGGTTCCAGTATAGCTCTGCAAAGACACAGAGACTAGCCCGAGTCAAACTAAATCCCGAGTTAGACGAAACAATCGATAGAACCGCCACCATTATGTCCTCAGACTCTTGGAACAAATCAACCCGCTGCTGTCTCTGTTTTTTGTCTGTCTGCCCATCGATCCGTACATACTGAACGCCTTTTTTCTCGATTACCTCGCAGATCCCATCCAGGATTTGCTTGTGATGCGCGAAAATAATAAATTTTCGTTTCTTCTCCAATAAATCAGAGACGTAGTTACACACAGCTTTTAATTTTTGCGGTCCAGAGTCGGTGAACAATTGCATCAATTGATTCGCATTTTGTTTGCGATCTCTTAGTGTCATCAGTGCCTCGCTTGATGTATTCACTAAATTTGGGTCCAGTATAACAAATTGTCTGCAATAAATTTTATTGATTAATAATAAGGATAAGTTATTTACAAGTAAAAATAAATATATACCTTATTTTTGAAGGTAATTGGTCTAATACTTCATCTTTCATTCGTCTGATAACGCAGACTTTACTTAATAATAATTGGAGTTCAACTGGATTAGATACTCCGCTGTAATTCCAAACGCGTACATTTCTTCTCACTTGTTTTTCTTTACCAGCGCAGTAACGGAGACCATAATTATGTCGTCTGAAAAAATTTAAAATAATTTTTATGATTTTTACAAAAAATAAAGGTCAATATTTACAAGTGGGGTCAACCATTTTAATTTTAATTTTTTTTTAACGGAATTTCTATTTAATTTTATTGATATATTTTTTTTTAAATACATAAAAAAAATAAACAATTTAAAAAAAAATTTATAAATTTTTTAGAAAATTGTGATATTCAACTTTTTTTTTAAGTTCGTTTTTTTATGTACTTTTAAAAAAAAAAAAAAAAAAAAATATTAAAAACATTAAAAAAAAGATAAAATAACTTCTGAAGGTAAAAAAAACAAAACGGGGTTGACCCCACTTGTAAATAATTACTAAAATAAATTACTAAGAAGAAAACATTTTTAAAAAAATTAAAACAATAAATTTTTTATACTTATACAAATGGAATTTTTTATAATAATTTATTTGTTAAAAAAAATGGGCATCATAATTCATTTAAAAAATAATTCAAAACAATTATTTAATTTTTTTTTTACTCACTTGAAAAAAGTCGGTTCAATGAGACGAATTTGTGCGTATAATTCATAAGGTCTCGACAATGCGGGCGTACCACTCAATAGAACAATATGTCGAGTTTCTTTAGCGACAACTTCAACAGCTTTAATTCGCTCTGAATTGTAATTCTTCAAAAAATGTGACTCATCCTAAAAAATAAAACAAATAATTATTATTATTATTTACAATTGAATATTCGTAAAAAAAATCAATTACCAGTATTAAAGTCTTGAATTGTTTTCTAACAAATACTTTCTTGCATTTAACAAGCAAGTCGTAGGAAACAATGATAATTTTTTCTTCTTCAAAGTAACCTTTGCTGCCAGAGAACAGATAGATATCTTCAGCTTCTACTGAAGGAAGGAACTTTGTAATGTTATCAAGCCACATGTGTCTAGAAGAGTAAAAAATTAATAATTGTATTTTTTGTAAAAATTAAATTAAAGAATACTTTAAAGTAGAAATAAAATAATTACGTTAATGATGCAGGTGAGACGATGAGCAATGGCCAGTCAGCTTGGTAGTAATTAGCGATAGCAAGAGCTTGGAGGGTTTTTCCTAGACCCATATCATCAGCGATCATACAACGACCGTTTCTTGTTATTGCGAAATAAATACCTTCTCTTTGAAAAGGCATAAGTTGTCTTCTCAGCTTGGGGTCGATCCCCGAGAAATCAATTTCTTGATTTTCAGAAGATTTATCAGTTGATTTAGCAACAAAAATCCTGTAGACATACCTGGGGAGACCAATAATCAGTACTCGGGGTACTGATCTCAACTCTTGCATGAATTTGTCGTACTCTTTGACGTCAAAACTCCACAATTTTTTCAGAGGATCGTAATAACGGGTGTCAAATTTATGGCAAAAGTCAATAAATCCCTGGTGGTAATTAATATTAACCTCAAATCTCGTGTTACTTATCATGGATATTGATCCTTTGACTTGATACTGCTCGTGAAAAAATGAACACCTAGGTGACGTAGGGGACAAAGACGATGAAGGTGACGCTGACGAGGTTGAAGGGCCTGGTGATGACAATTCACTGCTAGAACTGACATTTAATTGTTTTGCTGGCATTGTTCTTTTCAAATTTTGATCTTCTTGACCAGGATTTAATGATTGTTGTTCTTTTTGACGAGCATTACGTCTTTCGATCGCCTGCAGACGCTTTTTTTCAATATCTTCAGGTGAGCAAGACATTTTTTAATTTATTTAAGTACTGGAAAAATCAAAAATATTTTTGAATCTTTTAAATAAATAAAAATTTTATAGAATATCTCAAAATACTTGGCAAGTTATTGCTGAGTAAATTTTAAAAAGTTATTTTAATTTGATTTATTTTTAAAGCACGTGACAATTTTTTAAAAATAAAATTTGTATTTTTATTTTTTTAGGAGTAACTTTTTTCTTGTGATTATTTCAGTAATAAAAATTTATTATTATTATTATTATTATTATTATTATTATTATTATTATTATTATTATTATTATTATTATTATTATTATTATTATTTGTTAGCACCGGGAGATTTCACATTCGGCTGTTGCTAAAAATTTAAATAGTTTAAGTCAGCCATTTTGTTTGACAGCGCGATCTGGTGGACGAAACTTGCATATATATCAACAATGATAAAAATATTACCACATGTACGTGACATGCTTGAGGTTATAAAATTTATTTTAAATTATTATTTAATAAAAATTGTCGTTAATTATTAATAATTAATAATCATGGTGTTTAAATCTAAAAAATCTACCAAGAAGCCGGTTGAAAAAACCCGCAAAGAATTGCGTAAAGAAAAGCGACAGCAAAAAAAGGTAAATCGTGCTCAATATTATTCAAATAAAAAAAAAGTGTTAGCAAGTAAAGACACAAATTTAGATGATTCATTAATTAAAAATGAAAATAATAATATTAAAACTGATATTATTGTTAATAAAAAGCCAAAAGTTGTTAAAAAAGTAAAAACTGATGAGGCTTTGATAAAAGAAAAATTAAGACTTAAAAAAAAGCGCGAGAAACGTGCTGAAAAACAACGGCTGAAGCAGAAAAGGGAGCTGCTGCTAGAAGACCAAGAAAAGGAGGACAAGATGATCAGGCAGTTGGAGAAAAAATTGAAGCTCAATAAACGCAAGAGCAAGAGCGTTCCCAAGTCATTTGTTGATGATGGATTGGATTACCTTCTGGACTTTTGCAGTGAAAAAAGTTCTTCAGACAAGAAGGTAGATTACAAGTGTGGGTTGATGAAGAACGCTTTGATGGAGTTTGACAGCGATGATAATCTGAGTGATGATGAGCCTCCAGCTAAGAAGAAAAAATCAAAGGTGATTTCTGATGCTGAAGGTGAAGATGAAGAGTTGGAGATTGATTCTGGGAGTGAGGAGGACTTTGGTGATGAGTTTGATGGTTCTGAAGAAGAATCAGAAGTTGAAAAAATTAATAAATCTAAATCGAAAGATTTAAAAATTGATAAAAAATCTGTAATTAATTCTGAGAGTGATGATGACGATTTTGGTGATTCTGAGGATGAAAAAAATGATAAATCTGAATCTAAAGCTTTGAATGTTGATAAAAAATCTAAAATTATTTCTGAAAGTGACGAAGATTTTGATGATGATGATGATGATGATGATGATTTAGGTGAAGATGAAGAAGATATTGAAGACAATAAAAGTAAAAAAAATTCAGATGGAACATGGGAAGATATCTACGGACGTAAGCGAGACAAAGATGGTAATATAATTAACGAAAAAGCTAGTTCTGGTAAGTACATACCACCAGCAATTCGTTTAAAGCAGCTGGAAGAGTCGACAGCCCATCAAGAAAAATTACAGCAACTGCGAAAGCAAATGAAAGGACTAATCAACCGACTGGCTGAGCATAACATGCATTTTATTTCCACTCAAGTAATTATTCAATTTTTTATTTGTAAATTTTCATAAAAATTAACAATTTATAAATTTATTTATTATACTTCCAGATTGAGGACATGTACATGTCAAACAGTAGACATGACATGAATGAGATGCTGACAAAACTAATGACAGAGTCCTTGGTGTCCCCGGTGCTGACTCCAGATAGCCTGGTGGCCGAATACATGCTGCTAGTGGCGATTCTCCATGCAAACGTAGGAACCGAAGTTGGAGCCCACTTTCTGCTGTCTCTGATTAGAAAAATAAATGAGATGCTTGGAGAATCTCAGGATGTGGAGAACAAAACTCTAGACAATTACGTCTTCATGCTGTCACATTTGTATAATTTTAAAGTCTTTGGATCTCAGCTGCTCTTCCAGATTCTGCAAAAGTTAGCTGAAAAATTCACGGAGAAGGAAATAGAGTGTATTTTGTTAATTTTAAGGACGGTAGGATTTTTGTTGAGGAAAGACGACCCACTTGCTTTGAAAGAGCTGATCATTAATTTACAGCAGAAAGCCTCAGCTGGCAAAGAGACAAGTTCGCGAGTCCAGTTTATGTTGGAGGTTTTGATGGCGATTAAAAATAACAACATGAAAAAAATTCCTCAGTACGATACGTCGCATGTAGAACATTTGAAAAAATTACTGAAGAATTTCCTGCACAAGGGAAACAGCGTCACACAGTTTAACATCTCGCTCAGCGACTTGTTGAATGCCAATGAAAAGGGTAAGTGGTGGATTGTCGGTTCTGCTTGGTCGGGAACCATCGACAGCACGAATAAACCCACCAAAGACAAAAATTTCGATGGTGGTATGCAGTTCAGTCAGCAGATTTTAGAGCTTGCGCGCAAACAGCGAATGAATACTGATGTCAGGCGTAATATCTTTTGTATTTTGATGAGCGCTGAAGATTATTTGGACGCTTTTGAAAAAATTCAACATCTGGGCTTGAAAGATCAGCAAGCCAGGGAAATAATTAACATTATTATGGATTGCTGTTTGCAGGAAAAGAAATTTAATCCTTACTACGCGGTTCTTGCGCAAAAATTTTGTAATTATGATCGCAAAAATCAGGTAATTTTATTTTCTAACAATTTAATTACAGGGAATGATTGTTAAGACTTGTAATTAAAATTTTATTTTCCAGATGACACTCCAATACTCGCTGTGGGACAAGTTCAGAGAATTGGATGACTTGAACAAGGTACAGTTGAACAATCTGGCCAAGTTCTTGACGCATTTGTTTGTCGAAAAAGGCCTGGCTTTGTCGGTTTTGAAAGTCATCTCCTTTGCTGAGCTGGACAAGCAGACAATGAAGCTAGTGCGACAGATAATGCTCGGGATTTTGCTCCACGATGATGTAGAAGCTTGCACCCATGCGTTCGAGCGAATATCTCTAGCACCGCAATTGCAGAATTTGAGAGAAGGCCTGCGTTTGTTTATCAGTTATTTCTTGGCCAAGTATGCTGAAGCGCAAAAATTGCCGGAGAAGTCTGTTAAGAGGCTCAAGGAACGTACGGAGCTGGTGGAAAAAATTCTGTATGGCCGGTCTTCTCTTTTGTAGTTTAAATTTGAAAAATTAATTAAATATATTGTAAAAAATAAATGTAAGTACAAGTTTTGTATTTAAAAATTTATATTAAATTTATTATTAAAATATTTTTTGTATTATAGCTTTAAAAAAAACTTCATGTTTGTTATTTTAATTCTTTTATAACAAAAAACTCAATTCTTCATTTGAGTAAGATTGGAAAAAAACTTCCGTAATACTTGAGAACTTTTTATATTGTCAATCGCATCGTCGAATGAAACAGTAGCTTTATTTTTTATTAAAAACTCCATCGCTTCGTTTTTGACTTTGTCCATATCATAATTGTCAATTGTTACCAATATTTTAACGATATTATCAACTTGAAAATTATTGACTAATTTCGACTCACAATAATCCTTCAATCTATTTATTTGATACATGTGAGCAAAAGATGACAATTTTAAAAGTAAATCAATGTCATTTGCCTCAATTTCTCCTCCATATAAAAATCTCAGTACTTCTTTAATACTTTCAGCATCAAATTCACTCAAGTCAATACAATTTTCTTGTTTTTCTTTCATTTCGGTAGTGAGCATTTTCTTAAAAACCGCGCTATTACAAGCCAGTACTATTTTGTGAGCTGGAAACTCTTGATCCCCCACTTTTATAGTAATATCACTGAATTCCTGTGACAAAAAAAAATCTTTCACATTAGCCAGTTCTCGAGCAGGATTATCTGATGCTTTATCATTAATACTATCATCAAGTTTTATTGTGCATGAAATATTGTAAGGTGGTTGACAAGGAGTACCATCAAAAAGAAATTCATCACTAAGTCCAGTCCAATTTATCATGGTCAAAGGTCCAAGTGGTTTATTATTCCACTTAACCGCGATTTTAGCGTTAATATTAATCCCTCCAACTTTGTTTATTTTTACCAGACAATCCCAACCACTCGAATAATTACGTGCAGCAGTGTGTATATAAAAGGTACCAGTATTGCTATTAGGAAACCCAAAAGGTTTTGAAATGACCCAGGTTGCTCCTATCTCATGAAGCTCCCAGTTGTGTGTAATTTCGCGCGAATCAGAACCTCCCATATTTTTACACTTTTTTATTTCATATGATGCCTGTACTTGAAAAATTGAAAAGTTTATCAATTATTCAAATTTTAAATATTTAATATTAAGTAAACTAAGAATACTTACTTTTCTTTAATTGTTTTAAACTTAGAAATAATTTTTTAAAATTAGTAAATACTGTAAATACAGTATTATGCGTAATTACTAATAAAACTTCTTTATCTACATCTATGTACTTTTATCTCAATGTTTTTTATAGATACTATACTGGTAAGTATTGAAAAAAAAAAATAATACTAATAAAAACACACTGTATATTATTCTGGGATTCCCAAAGTATATAAAGCGGCGTTTTTAAATTAATTATAAAAAGTATTACTAATGCTCATTTAAATTTATTTTATTTTTTTATTAATATAAAAGTTTACTGAATACAAAATAATTTCTGAAAAAATTTTATTATAAACTTATAAAAATATTTTTAATTATATTTAATTTCAAAGAAAATTCATGTTTGTTATTTGTATTTTAAATTTTATCAAAAAAGATTTATTTCTTCATTTCAGCGAGATTGGCTAAAAAGTTCCACAATACTGTGGAATTTTTGATGTTATCAATTACATCACTGAATGATACATCAGATTTATTTTTTTTTAGAAACTCCATTGCTCGGTTCTTCACTTTGTCCATATCATAATTTTCAATCGTTACCAATATTTTAACGATATTATCAACTTGAAAAATGGTGAGTAGTTTCGACTCACAATAATCCTTCAATCTATTAATTTGATACATGTGAGCAAAAGATGACAATTTTAGAAGTAAATCAATGTCATTTGCCTCAATTTCTCCTCCATATAAAAATTTCATTACTTCTTTAATAGTTTTAGCATCAAATTCACTTAGATCAATACAATTTTCTTGCTTTTCTTTCATTTCTGTATCAAGCATTTTCTTAAAAACCATACTATGACATGCCAATACTAGTTTGTGAGCGGGAAACTCTTCTTCGCCTACTTTTATAGTAATATCACTTAATTCCGGTGATAAAAAATAATCTTGGACATTAGCCAATTCTCGAGAAGCTTTGACTAAAGCTAAATCATTATTGTCTTTATGAATTTTTATCGTACAAGTAATATTATGAGGCGGTTGAAAATAAGCAGCTTCAAAAATAAATTCTTCACTGTAGCCATCCCAATTTATCATATTCATACTTTTTAACTCACTGTCATTTATTTTTAACGAGATATCAGCTTTATTTTTAATCAATCCGTTTAGTAGTATTTTTACATGATAATTCCAGCAATCCCAACCTGACCAACGTTGCGATGTAGTAGCGAATACACAGAAACTAACAGAATCGTCATCAGAAAATCCAAAAGTTTCTGAATTTAACCACTCTGGTTCTATTCCATGTAGATCTTCAATCTTCCAGTTGTTTGTCACTTCACGCGAATAATAATTGCCCATATTTTCGTATTATAGGTATCAAAGTTCTTAAATATATGATTGCTGTATCTGAAAAATTTAATTTTATGCCTGTAATTCGACATCATGATATTAAATTAGATAAAAATTAATTTAACATATATTTAATAATTAGTAAAGTGGTTACCTCCTCATGGAAGATGCTGGGGTTTGTAACCAGATCTAGTCGCAACTTAATAACAATCAAAGCTATTAAATCTATTTACTTTTTATGAAAATAAAGTTAGCCGACATTTAAAAATTTTTACAAATTTTTTATTGAAAAAATTTCAATTAAACAATTAAAAAAAAATATCACATGTAAAAAACTTGAAAAACTATAAGTGCAATTTTCTATAAATATCTTTTTAGTTGTAATTTAATTAATAAAAAAAAAATTGAAAAATTTTTAGACGTCTGCTAACTTTAGTGTCATTTATTTACTTTTTCCTAGTCAGATCGCGTCTCGAGTATGCTGCAATTGTTTGGTCTCCTATTTATGATGTCTACAGCATCCAAATTGACAAAGTTCAACACAAATTTCTCAAGTTCCTGTCCTGGAAAATTGATCGAGTGTATCCTAAACCGGGCTTAGACAAGGACGAACTTTGTCGTAGATTTCAATTGCTATTATTAAAAAACTAGAATCAATTATTTTCAAAACTCTGACTTGGAGGTCCAGAGTCTCCTTTCAGCTTTTACTGACAGGTACTAACTTTGCCACTTCTGCCTCTCTATATCGATTGATAAATGCTTTTAACGATTTCTATAAAATTGATAACAGCCTTGATGTTTATCAGATAAACAATGTTGATTGTCTCTCGAAACTATGTTTATCAAATAGAGACTGAGCCAGAGCATTCTATATATTTACTTATTACACTAAATACAGACTTATTACTATTATTATTATTATTACTCATAAGTATAATTATTAAATACATTTGTAACTGTTATTTTTTTTTTCTAATGGAACCCGCTTAATGGCTTTGGTGTAGGGTTAGTGTATTGTTTAAAATCAAAATAAAATAATTTTAAGAATTTTATAACAAATTAATTATGGCAAAAAAAATTATCATGTAGAAATTTTAAAAGATAAAAAATGCAATTTTTTAAAAATAATTTTTTGGAACAAATTTGTTTGTTAAAAAAAAATTAAAAAATGGTCGAGATTGATAACTTTAATGACATTAACACTTAACAATTTTTTTAACAAACCAATTGTTTTGAAAAATTATTTAAATTATTAAATATCCGCTTAATTAATTTTCATCTGTAATTCAACTTATAAATGAACACATTTTTTTAATCCTGGGCAAAATTTTATCCAATTCCGGAATATATCTATATGGATATATTTTAACATTGATGAAATTTTATCCCAGTTTAAAAAACTGATCCTTAATTTTAAGTACATTAAAAATACTTACTTCTTTTTTAATTTTTATAACTCAAAAATAATCAAAAAAAAAAAATTAGCAAATAAAAGGTTATAATATGAATATTAACCTGTCCTGTTTACGTCCCAGAAGTCTTGATCATATTACTCTGGGATTCCCAAAGCACATAAAGCAGCATTTTCAAATAAATTACAATCTCTAAAATTATGTTCAATGAGAACTTTTTATTACAAATAAAAAAATATGTATCTATATCAATAACATTTATAAATCACATTCAAGTGCATATATTTAAATAAAAAAAAAAAAGACATTTAAACTTAGATTTTCAAATCAGACAAACAAACGATAAATTTACTTCATACTTCCGTGGTAGCCTTAATCTATTAACAAAATTTAGAGCAGTTATAGCCGAACTTAAATCAACGCAAACTTATATTTCTTCCTGAGAAAATTTTTCGATCAATTAACGCTTAATTAACATAATTAATAAACACTCATTGAAACGCATCAAGATCAATACTAGCCAAATCTTCATCGTCTTCGTCCAGCATCAAATTAACTTTATCCGCCAGGGCATTATCAGTCTTAAAATTCGAACTGGACATCTTAAAATATTCATCAATTTTACCCTGTTTTGAATCGGAACTCTCACTGATAACTTGCTTTGAAATGTCAGCACTATCCAGCGAAAAGTCCTGATTAAGTCCAGCTTTATTAAGAAAATCGAGCTTGGTGCGTAGTAACGGCCAGAGATGATCATCGACCGTTTTCTCAGCGATCAAATATTTGATAACGACCGATTCATTTTGACCTATCCGATGAATTCTGTCTTCTGCTTGGCAGAGGATTCCCGGATTCCAGTAAAGCTCTGCAAAGATACACAATTTCGCAGCAGTTAAAGTGATCCCAGCGTTGGCCGCAGTGATGGACAGAATTGCTACCATAATGTTTTTTTGCGTCTGAAATCGATCGACCATCGCCTTGCGGTCTTCTGGACGAGTACTCCCATCTATTCTGATAAATTTAACTTTACTCTTTATCATCAAGTCCGTGATAGCATCGAGTATACACTTATGATGCGCAAAGACGATAAACTTTTGTTGATTCTCCAAAACTTCTTCGAGGTAATTACACACAGCTTTTATTCTCTGCGAGCTAGATTCATTGAAACACTGGATTATCGTGGTGTGCAGATTTCCCTTGTTTTGAGAACATTTTTGGTAAGCTTCCTTCATTTCTTCCGTTCCTTTGTCAATTAAATTTGGGTCTAACATTATTACTTGCCTGAAAAAAAATTATTTTATTTTTTTTTATTAGTAAAAAAAAAAAAAAAAATAAAAATTAATCACCTCAATTTTGACGGTAGTTGTGATAGGACATCAGCTTTGAGTCGTCTTATACAACAAACTAATTTTAATAATAACTGTAATTCGGTAGCCTTTGATGAACCTTTGTAATTCCATCCAAATTTAGTTTGCTCTGCATTGCAATAACGCACACCGTAATTGTGCATTCTAAAATTATTTTTAAAAATTAAATTAAGTATTATCAATGCTTAAGGTGATTAGTAATTTATAAAATTACTAACGTTAAAAAATTGGGAACAATTAGTGAAATTTGAGAATATAATTCTATGGGACGTGACAAAGCTGGTGTACCAGTAAGTAGAATAATATGATTTGACTGATCAATCATTTTTTTAACCGCCTCTGTTTTTTTAGCTGTCAATGTTTTAATCGTGTGTGATTCATCCTAAAATAAAATAAATAATTTATTTATTTATAATTAAAAAAAAAAAAAATCAACGATAATATTTTAAAACACTTACCACAATAATAGTACCAAATCTTTTGCCAGAAAAAACACCAATATTCTTCACAAGTAAATCATAAGAAGTAATAGTAACCTTATTATTATCTAAATAAAGCTTGCTTGTATAAATAACTATTTCATGTACAAGTACTGAGGGTAAAAACTCTAGAATACTTTGGAACCACTGGTGCCTGTAAAATAAAATTGAATAGATGAAATTCTTCAAAATAATTATTTTAAATTAGATAAAAAATAATTACGTAAGTGACGAAGGCGCGATGATAAGTAAAGGCCAGTCTGCTTCATAATAATGAGCAATTCCCAAAGCCTGGATGGTTTTTCCAAGACCCATATCGTCAGCAATCATGCAACGGCCGTTTTTGTTGATCCCAAAGAGAATTCCTTCCCTCTGAAAAGGCATCAGCGTCTCCATCAGTTTAGGGTCAATGCGCGATAAGTCTGGCTCTGCTTTCTGAGGCTTTGGGTTGGCGTTCTCTTTGAACACTCGGTAGACGTACTGAGGAAGCGGAGTTATTTCTACCATTGGTACGTTTTTCAAGCCATTCATAAAATCTTTATACTCGGTGATATCGAAAGACCAGAGCTTACTCTTCTGGTCGTACATGCTAGTTTTTAAAGTTTTGCAGTACTTAATAAAAGGCTCACAATATTTTATATCCACCTCGAACCTCGTCAAGCTCACCATGGACACCGTACCCTTGATCTGTTGTTCTTGGTGGAAAAATTTAGTCGGGTTGATCGGAGATATTTTGTTGTTTACTAGTCCAATGCTGGTGTTGTTTATCTGCTTAATCAACTTTGACGGAGGCTCTGACTGCGGGTACGAATTGGTCTTGCGTTTGAGATCGAGGTTCTCGTGAGATTTGTTTAAGAAACTGCCAAGCGTGCTTTGGCTACCTGATGACAGTGATCTATTCAGTCCAAGTCCAGAATTCAAGGGTTGTAAGGGCTTTGATGTTGAGGGCTGCTGATTAATTCCAGCTACTGTTGACAGTCGAGCATTACGACGCTCCAGGGCTTCACATCGCTTTCTTTCTATTTCTTCTGGCGAGCAAGCCATTTTAGTTTTCTATAAATATTTTTTAAATTATAGGTAAGTTTTGTGAATTTTATTTTTTCTTTTTAATAATTGTAACAATTTTTTTTTTTTTAAATTGAAATTTAGGAATTCTAATGTCATTAAAGTTTAATTGACTATTTTTTTATTTTTTTCAACAAAAAATTTTTCTGAAAAATTATTTTTAAAAAAATTGCATTTTTTATTTTTTAAAATTTCTACATTCAATTTTATTGTCATAATTTATTTTTTACAAAAATTGTTAAATAATTTTTATTTTTATTATTTATAAAAATTATTTTGAATAAAATGTAAACATAAAATAAATTTTTATGAAAATAAATTTAGCAGATATTTAATAATATTTTGAGAATTTTTTTTTCTACATAAATTATGGCAAAAAAATTAGAAAAAAAATTAACATGTAGAAATTTAAAAAAATAAAAAATGGAATTTTTTTAAATTAAATTTAACAAATTTATTTGTTAAAAAAAATTAAAAAATTCTCTAGTGACTGCTAACTTTTGTCATAAAATTTTTAGGTTGACTATTATTTAAAAATACGTACTTTGTTAGAATATATAAAAAATGTAGATATTTTAAATTTGTTGTATAAATTATGCGCTTAATTTAAGCGATCCATAGAAAATAAATAAATAAATAATAATTATTTCACACTTCAAAGTAAATTAATAATGTGTAACTAAAAAATTTCTCCAATATTTAGATCGTAACGGTTTCGTTGTTGTTTTGATTCTGTTATTACAAAAGTAACCTCAAAAATAATTCATAACAAAAATGACATCACGAGACAAAAAAAAAGTTGCGCGTAAAATTATTTCTCATATTTTTTTTCATTAATAATTAAGTGTGTGTACTTCAAATAATTAATTGTTTATAAATTATTTTCGTGAATTAATAATTTTAATTTTTGACTGTCAAGTAAATTACCTGACTTTTTTTTTATTTATTTAATGGTAAGATTTACAAATTATCAATTAATCAATAAATTATCCACTAACAATTTTTTTCTTTCAGGTCAAATTTTTCTTTTATTTTTTTTTTATTTTATTAAACCAGAAATGTCATCCGCGAATCCAGAAAGTCAAATAGTTGGTACGTAAAAATTTTTATCGTTCACTAGTAATTAATTTAATTGAAAATTAGTGTAAACAACTGTCAAAATGTTTGCAGGTGATGACCACGAATTTGTCGTACCGACAAAATGTATCAAAATACCAGAAAGTATGGCAGTGTGGGAAAAATCGGAGGCCTACTGCGTAAATATCTTTTACTCTTATCACAAATAAGCAAATCAATAAATTAAATAATTTTCTAGGAGTACTTAGGGTTTATACTGGCCCTGAATGAAGCAGTCCAAGGCAAAGCTCTGAACGCAGAGTGTCCTCAAGGAGAAGTTGTCAAAAAAACAGTGACCATGCTGGACACATTTGATCAGTGGCTGACAGAGATACCACCGACTGAACAACCTCAGCGATTTGGAAATAAATCATTTCGTGAGTGGTTTAAAAGACTGCAAGAGGTATAATTAATTTTTATTATTGCTTTATCAGCTGATTGTTGGTGATTTATTAATTATTATTGGTGTGGCGATTCAGTTAGGCGAAGAAGAGTTGAAAAAAGTATTACCAGAAAATTTACACCGAGCATCACAAGAATTATTTCAATATCTATTAGAAGGATTTGGCAATCCAACGCGTATTGATTATGGAACTGGTCATGAAATGGCATTTATTATGTTTTTGTGCTGTATGTTTAAAATTGGAGCTTATAAATCTGATGACAAAGTCGCTGTTGTCAATAAAGTATTTAATCGGTGAGTAATTATCAATAATTTTTAATGATACTGAAATCAGCTGACATGACATTTTTTAAAATTTTTATTAAAAATTCATTATTTAAAAAAAAAATATTTATAAAAAATTTTAACTTGTAATTTTATTTTAATTTCTAGACGTGGAATTTTTTAATGAAAATTTTTTTATAAAAATTTAGTTGCAATAAAAATAAAAAAAAAAAATGACAGCTGTCTTTTAATTTCAGTAAGATTATTTTTCTAATAAATTTCTAAGAACTTGATAAGAAAAATAATAAACGCTATTAATTAATTGTTTTAGATATTTAGAATTAGTACGCCGCCTGCAATTAGTTTATCGTATGGAACCAGCAGGTAGTCATGGTGTCTGGAGCCTAGACGATTATCAATTTGTTCCGTTTATCTGGGGCAGTTCTCAATTAGTAGGTAAGTTTCTTCCAAAAAAATAAATTACACTTAAAAAATAATAAATCAATAAATACTAAAAATAATTTATCCTTTTAAGGACATCCACGCATTGAACCAAGGCATTTCGTAGATCCTGCAATAATGGACAGCTTTAAGAATCATTTTATGTTTCTTGGATCTATTGAATTTATTTCCAAAGTAATTTAAACTCCTTATTTGGTGAATAAATCTTCAAATTTGATGAATAATAGTTTTATTTTTTTTAGGTAAAAGTTGGACCATTTGCTGAACATTCAAACCAACTATGGAACGTCAGCGCTGTTTCTTCCTGGTCAAAAGTAAACGCCGGTTTGATAAGAATGTACAAAGCTGAAGTGCTTGCTAAATTTCCAGTCATCCAGCATGTACTATTCGGGTCTTTGCTAACGACAAAACCGGCGCCTCCAGGTCCTAAACCTGGATCCAGAGACACGAGATTCCCAGCTCCGAAGCCGCCTCTCTTAACTTCTCAACAATAATTATAATTATTTACTCCAGCTTGAAATTTATTTTTACCATGTACTTTAATTGCAAGCAATAATTAATAAATAATTTCCTTTATTAAAATTATTCATATCTTTAGATATTTTTAATCATAGATGGGTCGAAAATGATCTGTCTTTTTTTTTTTATAAAAATAAAATTAGCCATTTGAAAATTTTCAGAATTTTTAATTGAAAAAAAATTTTTTTTTTTAAGGGAAATAGCTAATGTGAAATTTCAAAAAAAAATTTTTTGTTTTTTTATTAAATCAAAGTTTTAATATTTAAATAATTCATTCAAAAATATGTATCTAGAGTTTTGTATGAAAATTCAGAATATTTTTCGAGTTAAGTATAGTCATTTTTGTGACAGCGTGTCAAATGACCATTGTACGCGCGGCGCTTCGACTAAAAGGCGTTTTTCTCGAAACTACTATTTTTGAACTGGTGGGATCTGTAATTTGCATAAGTATTATGGAGGGTAGAGGTACCTCTACCCTCCATAATAAGTATGAACCGATTTGCAACTTTTTTTTTCCGGATTCGTTTATTCAGTAGCTATAGTTGCACGTAGGAGATTTTGAAAATTTTGATTTTTAAGATTTTTTAGGGCTGTTTGAATCCAAAAAAATGAAAAAAAAAAAAACGAAAAAATTTTTAATGTCGCCATTTTTTTGAAATCCAAATTTTCAAAATCTCCTACTTGCAACGATAACCACATGCATGCAGATTACAACGCAGTTCGGTTTTTTTGTTTTAGATAATCCGTTTTTGAGTTAGAGATCCCACCGTGGTGGGGGGAAATTTTTTTGGTGCTCCACAAAAATGCTTACAACGTTGTAACAACATGATATTTTTTCATTAAAATTTAGGAGAATGATCTTCAATATATACTTTATGAAACAAAAAAACAAAACCCGATCCCCAAATTCCTTTATTATCACAGTCAAAAAAATTCCCAAAAATCACCTATTTTTTCGATCCTCACAGTGGCTATCCCCCTTAAATTTGACATGTGGAAGATTTTAAAAGCTCTAAATGCAATTTAAAAAAAAAAAAATATTTTTTTACTTACAATTTTTATTGATTCAAAAAATCAAAAAATTTTAAAACAGCAATTTATTAAAAAAGTTACAAAATTATTCTATCTTAAAAATTATATGCCAGGGGAAACTGTGAAAACTTTCATACTCTCGCGATTTAACTCATAGCCACAAACAAGACAATTGAAGCTGTCAGCAGCTGTAAAGTGTGCTTGCATACAATAGTAGCAGTAAATATGAGAACAACCCGCGTGTCTCGGTAAAATTGGTGAGAGTTCACAGTAAGGACACCGAGTACTTAGATCCATTTTCGGTGTTTTATTTATCACAGCTTTTGAATCCCCAGGAAAACTAATAAATTTTCTAAACAGCTGTTTTAAATAATGATAATTAATCATCGGTAACCCAGTACCGAATACAGTAATCAGTCCATGCCAGAGCAACTCTCTGATCATGAACGAATATCCAATATCCCTAGAAACGTGGTGAGAAACATTGCAGCTGCGTATTCCCAGCAGCCGCTCCTTCAGCAACGGCTGTGTCCCTCGGTGTAGAAAAATTAGTAAGTTTATAAAGCTGACCGCGCTTACTACCGTTGATGCCATGTCGAGATACTTAACAAACGGCCTCAACCGTGGGCTGACGAACCTATTAGGGTCCAAAAACTTTTCTTCCAGGTACTGGGGCACTACGGACAGTATCACCAGCAGCGCTGCTTTATTTTTTGTCAAGTCTGCGTAGATAAGGTTCAACAACTTCTGGCCTATTGTTGATTTTCCTCTCAGCAAAGTCCATACCCAGATGACTGTTCGCAAACTAGCGTTTATTTCTGGACTCCATGCTTCTATGACACCTGGCGTAAAAAATTGAGAAGATTCAAGGATTTTTGATGAAAATATGTTAAATATTTCGTCATCTAATTTTCCAGCGTCCAGTTGATTCACTCGTGATATATATGAATTCATTGTTTACGTTTTTGGTAAACATAACTTCTATACAAACTGTAAAATAAATTTTTTTATTTTTTTAATTAAATAAAAGTTGTATAAATAATTAATTAAGATTATTTTACCGGTCATCTGTATTTTTGGAGTATTCTTACTATTTTTTGTAATTTATTCTTCTGAGTTGTTGAGTTGATTGACATGATCCTGAAGTTAACCAACACCTGTCAATTTTTTGGATTTTTATATAACAATTAAATTACTATGAAAAAATTTTAGTAAAAAAATTTTATATCTAGAAATGGCAAAAAATTACAAGTGCAAACGTTTTTAAAAATAATTTTTTTTTATAATTGATTTTTTACAAAAATAAAAAAAAATGTCAAATATCAGCTGATTTCAGTATCTTTAGATTTGCAAGTTGCAGCTAACTTCATGGATTTGGCAAAAAATCACCGTAGCGCACTCTCGTGGACTAAATTGACAGTTGCGATGACAAGGTAGAAATCTTTTGCAACTTACCTCCAAAATATATTTTTCTCTTCTTATTTTTATAAATGTCAACGCTAATTATTTACTAACAAGACATTACTGAAAACTATTTGAATAATCAAGTGTATATTTATTATTAAGTATTAATAAAATGATAGCTAAAAATTTAATAAGTTTTCATTTGTGACGACAGTTAAAGAGGCTGTGTATTTTTACTTTTAATTTTTAACCTATTTTTGAGTAAACGTGTTTTTTTTTTTATAAATTGAGTAAAGTGTTTGTGTTTTATTAATTAAACAATAATGTTACAAGTACTCAGAGAACGTTCGCAAAAACGAAAAAAATTATTGGCACAAGCGGTAAATTATTTTTTATTTTTTAATAATTATTTATAATACTGAAATTTGTAAAAAAATTTTTTTTAATTGTGTTTAATTAATGTAATAAAATAAAATTAACATATTAGATTTTTACTAAAAATATTTTTTAAAAATTAAAATTTTCTAGCAATTATTAGAAATATTTTATTTTACAGCTAGGAGTTGCTAATCCTGATGAATTACGAGAAGCATTGGGCACGGATGTTGACGGAATCCAAAAAAAGAAGGCTAGAGTTAGAATAATCAAGTCTGATCAAGAAAAAACCAAGGATCAAAAAGATAATATAGTTTTAGGTGATGAAATAGTCTACAAAGACTCGTCAACATTTTTAAAGGTATTTTAAAGTATCCTAATACATATTAATTCAATATATTGAATTTAGCAGACATCTAACAATTTTTTAGACTTTTAAAACAATTAAATTATAACGCAAAAAAATTCCACATGTAAAAATTAAAAAAAAAATCTAAGTACGAATTTTTAAAAAGATTTTTTTAAATAATTGATTTGTTATAAAAATTGTTAATGTCTGCTAATTTCAGTATCATTAATTCAATTAGCTGCTCCAAATGTCCAGTCTTTCCAATAAAAACTATTTATTTTTTTCCTAGGGCACCCAGTCGTCAAATCCGCACAATGACTACTGTCAGCATTTCATTGACACTGGCCAGCGTCCGCAAAATTTCATCCGCGACGTAGGCCTGGCAGACAGATTCGAAGAGTACCCGAAGCTTCGTGAGCTGATAAAGCTCAAGGACGATTTAATTTCGGAGACAGCGACGCCTCCGATGTATTTGAAGACGAACTTGTCGACCTACAACTTGAAAGAACTTAACTGTAAGTTCGACGTTATCTTGATAGAGCCGCCGTTGGAGGAGTACCAGAGAACCTGTGGTGCTACCAACGTCGAGCTCTGGAACTGGGACCAGATAATGGAACTAGACATCGGAGAAGTTGCGGCGAATCGCAGCTTCGTCTTCCTTTGGTGTGGAAGCAGCGATGGCTTGGATATGGGACGGTTTTGTCTGCGGAAATGGGGCTTCCGTCGCTGTGAAGACATCTGCTGGATCCGTACGAATATTGATAATCCTGGACACAGCAAAAATCTTGACAGCAAAGCAGTTTTGCAACGAACTAAAGAACACTGTCTTATGGGTATTAAAGGAACAGTCAGACGATCTACGGATGGGGATTTTATTCATGCGAATGTTGATATTGATTTAATTATTTCGGAGGAACCTGAGTATGGTTCTATTGAAAAACCTGTTGAGATTTTTCATATTATTGAACATTTTTGTCTAGGAAGAAGACGGTAGGATTTTAAATTAATTTTTATTTTTATGATACTGAAATTAGCAGATACTTGAACAAATTTTTTTTTTAAATAACTAGGTCGTTTTTTTTTTTTTTTTTTTTCTTAATTTGTTTAAAGTCGCATAAACTACTAAGGTCATGAGCGACTACGGTAGGGGGTAAACTTTTGAGATTGGAACTCGTTTTATTTCTTGGGCTGAGCAGTATAATACACTTAAATATTGAAAATATTCATTGGTGTACGCCGGACTCGAACCCGGTCCAATGCTTTGGTAAGCAAGGGCCGGATCCGATAGGCTACTGCGCGCCAACTAGGTCTTATTATTTAAAAAAAATTGCATTTATTATTTTTTAGAGCTTTTAAAACTGAATTTTTCATTTATTTATTTATTTATCTGGTAAGGAATTCTATCGAGGTGTAAAAACACCTATGTATAGAACTAGTACAAAAATATCAGTTTTATACGTACAAAAAGTAATAAATTTTTAGAGAAAGAAATACAAAATTATAAATATAATTATCAGAAAAGGAGATATCCAATTAAATACTCGCTTTTTCCAACACATTTTTAAGCATATTAAACATTAAGGTTTCTTATCCAGTAACTTAACTTTTTTTTTAACAATTTTTTATTACAATATATAGTTTTCATATTAGTAGGGAATTTGTTATAATAATTAATTGCTACATAGTAAGCATTCTGTGTATTAATAGTTTTGTTAATTTTTGGTAGTACTAGCAATTTAGATCTTGTAAATACAATTTAGATTTGTAAGTTTTTAAAAAAAATTTTTTTAATTATTAAATGTTTCTCAATTTCAGTATCATTTATTTTTTTTTTATTAAATAAATTTTGACTATTATTGAATTTTTAGACTTCATTTATTTGGAAGAGACAGCACAATTCGTCCAGGATGGTTGACAGTGGGTCCGGAGTTGACCAATACTAATTTCAACGCCGATTTATACAGCGGATATTTCGCATCTGGTCAAACAACAACAGGTTGTACAGAAAGAATAGAAGCTTTGAGACCAAAATCTCCTCCTCCTAAGGGCAAGGTCGCGGGACGAGGTCGTGGGGCCTTTAATCGTGGAGGTCGTGGAAGAGGAAGATGAAACTCAGATTCCTAATCGACGTCTTCTCAAATCTGGATTTTTAGTTTTTAATTTTCAATTTAATCTTAAATTTTTTAATTATTTTACTACTCAATTTATCGCTTCAACAAAATAATTGAATTTATAACAAATAACGAATAAATATTTGACTTGATTACTTTTGAAATAAATTTAAGAAAATTTAATTTCTAATTGTAAAGACTTAAATCAAATGTATGATTTATTTTATTAATTTTTTCTTTTTCATTTATGTTCCGTAGTAAGTGTATTGACGAAGAATTTGATTGTTTTAAAATTCAAAAATAAGTACGCGAGAAACAAAAAAACAGTTTTTTATGAAATTGTAAATAAATATTGAGTAAATTCATTTATTTGCATAAACTATTATTAAGTATAAAAATAAGGAATTTTTTTTTTTAATAAAAAAATAAATAATGACAAGTCAATTGATTTAAATAATTATTTATTTAATTTAATATAAAACAGTTACATACTTGTTTCCTTAGAATACACTTTTATTGCATGTGAAATGTTATACTAAGAAAAAAAAACATTTTAAATTAGATAAATAAATAATATATTCAATTAATTATTTTTAACGCGAACGCGTTAAGTAATTTCGTATCTAATTAAAAAAACTAACTGTGATAAATACAATAATAATTGATAAAAAAGTTCTAATAGTCAGTACCGGATTTTTAATTAATATTATAAATATTTACATTTTGGAATTTCCGAAAATAGTTAACTAATTGAATTATTATTATTCATCATTATTTATTGTTATACAATATTCGTGAAGAAGTAATAAAAAAAGTTATTATTATATATTTTAGTAATGCAGATTGTTAATTAATAAACCATACGGAGTAATATGCTGGTAATTAAATTGCTCGTATTTTTGAGCGCAAAGCATTGGCTTTGTTTAATTTAATGGTCGTTTTACCGTATTTACACTTAGACTATGTGAGATCAAAATTATATTACAAATTTGTACTTTCTAGGTCAGAAAATATTATTTTTATATTTTTCCAAAATTTATTACAGTAAAAAAAAACTGTTTAATCAATTGAAGATGTTAAAATTAACAAATTTTGTTCGTCTTTGTCTGAAATATTTAATGAAGACTATATCAATAAAAAAAGGTATTAGTCATCCTTTAATACATTTAATGATTAATTGAAATATTTTTTATTTTAATTAATAGAAGATTTATTTATTTACTCGATTTAACTTGCACTTTTTACAACAAAGCAAGTAAGTACTGTCTTCAAAGAAGAAATAATTTAAAATAAATAAACGGCAAGAATTAATTAATAAAAAAAAAACTTATTAATTTATTTTATTTTTTTCTTCACAGAATTAACCGGAAAATAAATTTATTTTTTAAAAATAATTTTAGGTAATCCTGTAAGGTACATCAAATAAATAAATAAATCATAACGTGAGTATGATATGTTGCACTATCATTGTGCTTTTTAATTATTATCACTGGTGTCGAATAATTTTTAAAAGTAACTAGTATAATATTAATTTAAATATATAATAATAATAATAATAATAATAATAATAATAATAATAAATAATAATAATAATAATATAAAATTAAATATAATTTCAGCACAATGATTAGAAATATGTATTAAAAATCGTATAGTTGGAGGACGGGATCAAATTGGCAATGCTGTGGATGAAGAAATAAAAAAACAAACTAAAAACATGCTTAGCAAGCGGGATTGCGATCGTTGTTGCAAATAGTCGATTGGTAATTGAACATTCAACAGTAATAGTGTTCAAGTTGTAAGTAGTGGATTGATTTTGTGTTGTAGTTACATTTGATATCACATCGGACATCAAATATCAGAAGAAATAAATTCTCCATTATTCGAATCAGGATATGGCCCAACATCATGCCATAATCATAAATAGGTTGATTCCCCTGTAAGCAAACCCAGTTTATTCAGTAAAATTATAAATAATATGACATGTTACTTCCTCGCTAAATTAATATGTGCATTTGACAGATATTTTTGTTTAAAGATTAATTTTAAAAACACCTTCCCGTTATTGCCGTTCGATAAGCTATTTGAGATTTTTTTTTTTTTTTTAAGTACAAAAAATACACATGCAGTAGGACAAGAGTAAGCAAATAGTATATAAATATATATATTTATATAAATATGTTGATATAAAAGTATATGAAAAATTATAGGATATTCATATTTATATAGATACTCGTTTTTTATTACTTCTAAATTACTTTTTTTATTTTTCTCACTCATCCCTACATTCATTCAATTTATTATTATTATTATTATTATTGTTATTATTATTTTAAAATTGCTTTATCTCAAATACTACTCAACAAAATTTAATCTAGTATGTTTACGTAGATACAACGCAATGTAGTATGAACTTATTAAGACGTATTAAATGAATTTAATATTATAAAATGATGCGAAAAAAAAAATTTTTTTTTTTTTAATTCCGTCCTCTTATTCTTCTGCCCTATTTTTTTTTCTTTAATCCACATAATTGTAAGCATTTGACTTATTTTATAAACAAATTATAAATGTATGGAGTTAAAAAAAAATAAATAAAAGAAAAAAATAATCATTATATTTTTTTCACTTTATTGAATAAAAATCGAACTTTTTTTTTTTAACTACAGAGCTAATATTACGGACGAGATAGTTAAAAATTCTTAAGGATTTTTAAAAAGCGAATATTTTATTTTTTTCTTTTAATATATATATATATAATCGTGGACATTAATTTAAGTATGTTTTAAAATTTACTAGAAAATAGCCGTTTGTAGAATGGAACGTTTGTAAACTAAAAATTTTTAAAACTGAAAATAATGCCGTTTATAAAATGAGACGATCATTAAAAAAAAACAATATTAAATAATGATTAGTAAAAATGATGCAAAATGTAAAAATGTACGAACCTTAAAATGTTATAAAGTAAAATTCAACCAACCAAAAAAAAAATAATAGAATAATATATTTTTAAATACGGCTAAGTAAAAAAAAAGTATTTAAAAAAAACTGAAATAAAAACAAATAAACAAATGCATATCTTGACATTAGAATAAAAATAATTTCAAAATAAAGTATTTACGTAATGTTGACATTTGCTAAAATTGATGCATCGTGAATTTTGCTAATTTAAATCAATTCTTGACTGACCTGTAGTTAAGAGAAGGTTTTTGTCTCTAAATTTCATAGCTTCAGAAATATCATAAATAATTATATAATAAATAAATTAATAAGCGTTAAAATTAAGAATCTGCTACTTTTATAAACCGCTGAGTTTACAAACGGCTATTTTAATTGTTAACAAAATTTAGCATTCACTTATTTTATGAATCGCAAAGTTTACTATTGGCTGAATTTGCGTGGCTAAGTTTTGAATTGGCAAAATTCACGATGCAACGATTTTAACAAATATCAACATTACGTAAATACTTTATTTTAAAATTATTTTTATTCTAATGTCAAGATATGCATTTGTTTATTTATTTATTTTTTTTTTTTTCTTATTTTGTTTAAAGTCGCATAAACTACTAAGGTCATGAGCGACTACGGTAGGGGGTAAACTTTTGAGATTGGAACTCGTTT